TCAAAAATGGCACTAGCCTCATGACCGAGGGCGGCATAATTCATGTTGACAAGGAAAATTTTCCAAAGGTAAGCAATGTATTAGACATAACGAATATTGAAGCATTTTGATTAGTAACGCGATCTAATATGACTCAAGTTATCACTCTAAAATGACTGACTTTCAGCACCTGCCTGTCTATTGTCCCATGCATGTCTGTACTGAGGATGCAATCTGTCTTTGGGGTAACTGTGAGCCTGTTTTAAAAGGTAATATATAAGATGGTTAACCAAATCTTCAATTTATGATTACAACATTGGGCAGAATTCAAATCAAATTTTTCGGAGTTCTATTTGCGTTAACACCTCCGCGTCAAACCTAAGCTTTTTAAAATAGGTAGTGCAATTTCTATAGTGGAGTGACCATCCTAGAAAAAGATGCTTAGTTTTCGAGTTTAATGGACCGGCATACCCTACGGCTGAAAGTTATATTTTATAAAAGAGACATCCCTCCTCATACATTTTCACCCGGTCGTAGAGTTTTCTCAAGTCAAATTTTTTTTAAACTTGCGATGAAAGTGAAAAGAGGGGGGTGTATTTAAGTCGTTTATTTCACTTGCTGATAACATTCTTTTTCAAAGATTAATTATTAATTTTAAAAAATACTCATTTGTGTGTGATAGGATACCTACAGGTATCTAAATTTACAATGCAAAATTAATCAGGAATATTATTTGTCCCTCCCCCCTTTTTAAAAAAAATAATCGTATGTTTTGTTATAGAACCGGCGTTAATTTCAACAAAATATATTCAGTACAATTATTTCATGCAATATTGATAACGAATGTTTACTTAAGCGTTAGAAAAATTTATAATACAATGATTTCTGATCAAATAACCCGCACTTTTTTTAATGACATCCTCACACTAAGTCTTATATTCTGCTTGATTACAATGTTTAATGTAGCTGAAAACGGATTATAGAATCCCATTATGTCTATGACATCGACTCCATCGATCAAAGTATTGTTAAATATATTAAATTGGCTTCTATTATTAATAAGATAACGTTAATATTCAGTTTGTATGTTAATAAATGAGCATTTGAAAGTAATTTTTCTTTTTTTTAATTTAAAAAAAATACGTAAAGGACAAACATGTCACTTTTCCTTCACATTCATGTTTGAACAAGGTATCTTGCATGATTGGATATCGCCTTTCTGCTGCATAAACAATACAGATTAACACAAGTATGAAACAGAAAGAGAAAAACGATTATAGTATTTCATCTTAAATACTGTCCATAACTTTACAGAAAGTATTTCATGTTTTCTTCGGAAATTTATTTAGGTGTTTTTACAGCAAAAACATGGACTTTGTCATTATTCAAACTAAAGGATACATATTTTATGTACGCATTTCCTCATTTACATGTACATACTGCCAAAAATTGAACGCTGTTCTTATAATCCTTTATGAGCGGGGGTACCATATTTTGTCAGCTCAGTGTTTTACAGTACTTTAAGTTTTCTTTTAAAAGACGTCGACGTACCAGAAAGGAAAATATGAATCAAACGGAACCGTAAAAGCAATCCACTAAAGTTTTTGCTTGGAAAACTCATGATTTGTACTGTCATAAGAAAGTTTTTTCGATATTTTTCCTTTTGAGAAAGAATTGTCAGTTTTGCTTCCAGAATTAATTGTCTAATATTAATTTTACAAATTGCTATGGAGACAGGAGAAATAGTACTATATACGCTATCTTTAACCCATCGTCTCAAGCCACGGTCCGGAGTCCGCAGATAGCTCTCTCCTACTCGTGGCTGTTTGATCACAAAAAGTGTCGTAATCTTGAATATGTACGCCTCTCTATTGTGATGTCATATTCAGAATGGGAGAGGAGTGTACATTTTGCCCGTGGTTTGCAACGATGTCTTTAACCAACCATAGAACAACAAGGGTTTTTTTTTTTTTTTAAATTCAGGCCTTCTCATGAAAGGACAAAGACTACTGAGTATTTAGGCAATCAGCCTTTTTTCAAAATTCAAAGATAAAAAGTTTCCAGTCAGCAGATGAAACAAGCCATGCACGACATGCATTTAGCCTTTTTTCAAAATTCAAAGATAAAAAGTTTCCAGTCAGCAGATGAAACAAGCCACGCACGACATGCATTTAATGTGAATATTGCCACGTGATCAACATTTTGCACTGTTCTAATTATCATCTACCCATCTGAAGTATCTTTTTAAGGATAGGCTATAATGACTTTTAAAGTGTAGCTCTTTTACAAAGTTTCTACTTTTAAAGTTTTCAAAGAAAATATTTTCTTGAAAAGTTAACAATAAAGATATAAATGTATACGTGTTAATGAAAATCAATAAATAGAAATTACAGCTCTAGCAAATGTATTAAGTCATTAATTTAACTCTTCACCCCTTTTCAAAGAATTGCAACTTTAACACCTATACGTGTTTAATATGTCTACAATATAACCTGACTAATTTATGGTAAACCTTTATTCAAAAGTTCACAAAATTAAACGAAAATTTTCAAATCATTGATAAAAAATCGGCCTTTTTAGACAGAGAAATGAATAATATTAAAACTTTAAATATTCTGTTGTCTATCCTTTGGATGAGACCTGAGAACCGAAATTTAGAGTGAAAGCAAGGATAACCTCTTGAAGCTTTTTAAACAGCAGGGAACAATTTCTTTAAAAAATAATGAATCAGATGAAGAAGACTTAATTAAAACATAACATTTAAAAAGTGCGAAATTTATGGTCATATTTCGGTTTTTCTTAGGGGTGGGTGTGTGGGGGTGGGGGTAAGGGGTGATGGGTCTTCTTGTTTTTATTTTTCTTTACTTTGTGTACTAATTATTACGTGTGGTACGTAAAGAATAAAGTACATTAGCATATTAAACCTTTTACGTTTAAATAAAATACTATAAAACAAACCTTTCATTTTACAGACTGACAAACGGGCATTCTTTTTAAATTTTTCGTTCATTTTCCATGAAATCAATATATTCACCGAATAAATAAAATTCCTATACAAATACACATTATTTTCACGAATTCCTTGAACTTTTCTTTATATATGTACAATATTATGGCCAGCTTTCATTAATTGATCTTTGATCTCCTTTTATTTTAAATTTTGACCATAGAATTTTCTACGACCGGGCAAAAATTATTGCCTGATAATATATCTTACCAAAAAAGTACAAACCAGCCGTAGGGTAGGGTGGTACATTAAATTCAAATTTTTGATGGTCTTGTCACTCCACTACTACCCCAAGTACCCGGGACTTGGGGTGGATGTCCGAGGTCCTTGGACTAGGCCTTTAAAATCAATCTCTCACCAGAGGGCGCGCTCCGCTTACACCTCTGTTATCGTCTAAAAAGTAGCGCGGGTTGTCAAATAATTATTTGTCGACAAAAACTGTTAGACATTGATTGTTTTGCATGATTTCTCAGTGATGTTAAGCTCTCTGGTAGTAAATATTTCCTGACTTTATCTCCTTGGTTTCAAAATGAAAATATGCGTAAAAATTCGGAACAAAATAGTGCCGTATATATTGAAGCTATTTTAATATATATATAAATTTTGAAAGAACAAAAGAAGTGCTACAGATTGATATTTCTAACTTCATTTAAAAAAATTACCAAGTTGTTGTAAATCTATAATTTATTTTCGTTTTACAAGATTCTTGTAATTTAGACGATTACAGAGGTGTTGGAGCGATGAGCGTAAAACGCCCTCTGGTGAGAGATTGCTTTAAAATCTGAGCTTCTCTTTTACGGAAGTCGTTGATAAGAAACACCAATAGGTCAGACTTTGTGGTACTAGTCAGGTGAAAAGATTTCATATGAAACATTAAACATCATTTAATCAATCAATTTTACGATGTTCTGTTAAATTTAAATCTGTCTGTGTTAATAACGATTAGCGTACATCATTTCTTACATAATGTATTTTGTTGGCATCTAAAAAGAATTGGGATGCTGTCAAACATAGTAATAATTGAAGAACTTTTTGATTTGAGAGTATTGAAATTGTCTACGAATCATATATTTATGAAGGCAATGACGGATTAATTTATCTGCTTGTTTCTATAAACATGCTGATTACTTAAACAATTAAGATATTCAAATCTAAAATCAATAGAGATGAACATTATAATGATCGAAAAATAATTTATCTTGTTTTCGTCTTTTATGAAACATCTTACATATAAATAGGTCTTGTGATGATGAAACACCAAAACACACGCACCTAATGTTATTTATTTTTAAAAATTAAAAAGTGGTTCTGCAAAACTTTGTAATATCAATCTAAATAATCGTAAAATTGTACATGTATTTTAAATGCAAATAATTGACAAAAATACCAATCTATTTGAAAGTACATGTGTATTTAAATACATGAAACGATATATCCCAGTAAACTTGAAAAAAAAAGTACCACAGACGCGGACACATCAGATTCATATTCGGATATTTTACTAAAAGAAGATGTTAATTGTAATCTAACAACAACACTTTATGATTAACATGACGACTTTAACGTTTCAATCCTTTACTTCTCCTATTTATGTAGCAATATTTACATTCCCAATGTCTTTGTTCGAGATAATATTAGAAATAGTCAATGTTCTTTATTTCTCCATCAATGTACTGCTTCATCGATAGGCGCGGTTAAAGAAATCACGTGCAGGGCGGGATAAATAGAGGCAAGAAGGGGGGTTCTAGCACGTGGATTGGCGGAATCAATACCATGTAAATATTAGGAATAACTGTCAGATTTTTCAATTTTTCATTAATAATAAATAACACCTACCCTGTCACTCTTGACATGACCATAAACAATGTAACTCCTATATTAAATCAGATTTATAAACTAGTTGATGCATGTGTATATTTATAATTCTCATCAAGACTTTCCAAAATGTAATCTTTTTAAGGTTTGTTAATATTAAGGCAGAAATATTCATTATTGATTTTTTCCTAACTTAATAGAAAAGGTATATAAAGACTGTTCCGATATTGTGAAAAGAGACCCAAGCAAGAAAGGACAAAATGGGGTGTATGTTATTTATCCAGACACCGGCCGGAGAGAGGTCTTCTGTGACATGACGACAGATGGAGGAGGGTGGACGGTGAGTAGTTTTCATTTTTGAATGATGACAGAATGTTAATTAGATTTAGCTCTTTCAACTTCAAATGTAGAAAATACGAGGGGTTAGCAAATAGTTCGTGGACATGCGTCATAAAATTAAAACCACATTAGGCACATCAATGAATTTTGAAATATCTAGTTAGCATCATCTTTTGTATCTAAAGAATAAACCATATATCATAAATTTTATTTTTTAATAAATTAGTAATGTTTTTGGCGCAACCTCGAACACGACTTTTTTGCGACCTATGTGTAACTGAGAAAAACTCTTTTGATAATCAATTGACATCCAAAAATCCTGTTAATTCAGGTATGTGTCGAGACACCATTGTTCCATAAAATATAAAATTTTCACTTCATTCTGGAAGTTCTATGAAATTTTATCATAAATTTTAAACAGAATGTCCAAACAAATGAGGCCTTGAAAATGACGTCAAAAGAGGGAGGGTTTTTTTTCCAACATTCTATAAAGTTTTGCCCCTGAAAACTGGTATAGAACTAAACTATGTTGAAACTGGCTACAGAGAAATGATATGCATCTAGAGTACTTGTCTTTTAATGTCAAAATAGATTCAGAGGGAAAAAGGATACACAGTTAATGTCGATTTGCACTCAAGGTGTGAAAAATCAATCACGTCAAAATGACGTTGATGCGTTGTAGATATTGAACTCCCAAAAGCAAAATATGCCGGCACAATCAAGCAAGGATCTCTCCCAATGTAATAATCCATTTGGAATATTATATTCGTTGAAGGCCACTGTAAATGATATTGTAAAGTCATATAAACAAGGCGGGTTTAAGTCCTTACTCAGCTCCAGGGAATCTCATCAAAAAGTGTATTAGGTAGAAGAAGCGGACATTGAAAAAACAAAGACGTTATCGGACGTCGGGTGATCATATAATGTAGTTTATATTTTATAATAATTTGGCCAATAATGAACCTATCAGGCTAAAATTTTCAACATTTCTTTATTTTTTGTTGGTTTATGTTCGATATAAATTTTGAAAGCACAAACTACAATGTACTAATTTTAAAGCCTTAGCACACGAATTTTCTGATAACCCCTCGTAAAAGAGATTCCGATGTTAGAAATTATCATAAAAACAATTTAAACCAAATTATTACCATGCTGTCATCATGTCGACAGATGCAGGAGAAGTTTTGAACTAATATCGACTACTAGATAAAATTTCCTTTTATTAGCTATTTCAACGTCAAATGTAGAAAATCTAAGACAGTTACAGATGTTAGAGCTTATCTTGAAAACAATTTTTAAACAAATTGATCATGATGTCATTACATCTCTTCCTGAGTGTGACGCATGAAAAATGCCTTAAAACGTTATAGCATCTAAATAAGAAAACTCAGTCGAAAGATCACCAATTTTCTTCCTAATAACATTTTCTAAACACGATGTTATGTTAGGATGATTTCTTATCACCCTAACATAAAACACAAAACATTGATGTAATCATCAATTGTCGCCCGGGAAATATATAAAGTAAACAATGAAATTTAAATAAGTCTTGATCAACAAACCGCTTCGATATGTGTAAAAAGGCATGCGTCTAATTGATGGGACGATAGTCGCAAATATTTTTAAAAAACTTGTAGTCGGATAAAAATCAATCAAAAACGATACAATTTTAAACTTGATCTATTCCTCAAGTAAATGTTGGCTGCATAAAATATAAATTGAAGTTAGACACATGTATCATATATTTTTAAAAATATATTAATTTTCAATTTTAGAATATAAAGCACGAACTGTGCAGAGAACGTTTTAATCCGAGAAGTAAAATTCGATGTTCTAAAAAAGGGACCTGTCGTTGTTTCGATAGAAAATGATAAGAAACTTTATATATTAAATATGAAAAACATATATATTTTTACAGAATCACTTTATGGAAGTAAATATAATATGTATCTCGTAATTTATAAAAGGAAAGAACATTCTGATTAACAATCTTTTCAATGTTTAGAAAACCTTTAATTCTACATAACTACTCCCACCCAAATCCCCATACACCACCACTTAAACTTGTATGTATAGACCAGCCCGGTCCTCCGGGCTGCAATAAAGGATGTTAAATTTTAGTCTGCAATTTAGAAGTGTTATTGTACTCGCGTGTAGATCTAGAGAAAAAGCAAAAGAACAACACACAAGTTTTTAATTCGGAATTGGTTTCTGATGCCTTTAACATAATGATAATGATAATTGCTTAAACAATTTTATATTACTCAAGTTGGTGTGTTCCCGTTTTGCACACATTTGGAAATTAGTTTAGAACAACAGGTGTGAAGTGTGTTTTGATAGCAATTATAGTCTGATTTCTGGTTTGGATTTACCTGGATTTACCTGTGATTACCTGTTTTAGCCTAATGTATTCTTAAGAGGTTTAATACAATTTTATAAGCATTTTATTAAAATTCTTTATATATTTATGGGAAAATATTTGATTTTATTGAATAAATTATTATTTGATTCATATTATTTATTATTAAGTCCAATTTCTTAAAAAAAAAAAGAATATGTACTTTTCAATCTTGATATAATTCTAAATGAATTCAAGATATAACATATAATAAAGAAAATAATGAATAAAAATTAATTTGAAAAGATGTTATAATAAGATCATCAGATAAATACATTAACTTTGTATTTATTCTCTTCTTTTTTCACTATCAGTTCATCTTTCACATACTTACTAAGCTAAGTATAGTATAGACTATAGCAATTAAGTAATCATCTCACCTGGTCAAATTCCCACTTTTCACACATTTTTTAATTACCTGTAATTAAATGTGTGCAAAACGGGAACAAACCCTCAAGTTTTTGTACACACTGCCTTATTTAAAAAAAATTCTACCTAAAATCTCTATAGATAATTAGGGAGAATGTAATATAATCATTATATAAAGGTTTATTATTTAAAAAAACAATATAAGAAATTAGTATAAAGCTAATAAATAGTCTATAATGCAAAAAAAAAAAAAAAAAAAAAAAAAACTACAAAACGTCGAGAATTGTAGCGGTTAAAGAGTCTAATTCGGGTGCGCATGACTTTGAAAAGTTTTTAATTTCATGCAGTCGGATGTGCGACAATACAGCTGTGCCAGATATTGTGATTTCAATACAAAATTGATATTATCAGTAACGCTTTTTTTGTCTGAAACGTGATTTTAGACAATTAATAGGAAAAAACGCTGAAATAACTCTAACGATGTCACAGTTTTCCGATTTTGTAAGCAATGCATGACGCTGAAGATAGACACATGACTCGCTTGTATGTTCGAGACGTTCATGGATATTAAGCTAAAAACTTATGACAGAACATCAAAAAAAATATACTAGTAATCTAAACATTAATATTTTTACCAAATAAATCCATCTGTGCCGATAATTCATCTGCACCGATATTCATTTATACCACAATATGGCATTTTTAGAGGCACCGGACATTGAAAAAATAAACTTTGTAATTAATTCCTAGACCAATCTCTTTGGTAGACTTTGTACAATAACCTTTCTCTACTTAACTGAAAAAGAAATATCTAGGGCAGAAATACAAAAAGAATATTGAAAAAATGTGATAATTTTGCAAAAAATTCCCAACGGGTTCAGTAGTAAAATTTGACAACTTTTCAGAAAGTTGAAACTTCAGAACAATAAAATACTTTTAAGAGTTCCTTGAAAATTTAAAACAATTTATCAAATAAATGATTTCGGTACCATGTTATGTTTGACTTGCAGTGCCAATATAATTCCTAAGTTGTGGCTCTATAGAAAAGACATATTTAATTGTTTTTTAAAAATAATACAAGGTATTTTTAATGCAACTACCAATTAACCATTACATGAAAGTAACATGAAAGTAACATGAAAGTGTGAAACAAATAATTTTCTTTGTTCCTTCATGCGTAAACTGCGGCAAGGGTCGAGGATATAATTGATTATGCAAGGTGAAGCCCTAATTAAGTGTTCTGAGTGTTAGAATTGAAAGACGGGGAACATTGTTTGATTAAAGTTTCAGTTAGAGATAATTTATATGTTTAGATTTCTGATTATGATATCATAGATCTTACTGTGTCGGCAAAAATTTTACTGTGTCGCATGCATAAAATTTGAATCGTTACTGTGTCGGAAGCTACACAGCAGAATAACCCATGGAGAACCCTGCTAGTAAAAATGTATTCACAAGCTCGTGCATTCCGACAGCCAACTCGTGCCAATATTCACAAATACATAAGTTAAATAACCTTATAATAAATAGCATTGTTTACAGATCATTCAGAAACGCCTGGATGGTGAAGTTGATTTTTATCGGACGTGGATAGAGTATAAAAATGGATTTGGGAATGCCTCTAAAAATTATTGGATAGGTATGTTTTTATGTAGAGATAATTCATTTGTATTGTATCTATTTACTAATAAGGATTTTTTTATATATCCTTTGCACTAATTGTCTGTTGATTTCACACTCATCAATTTCAATTTTTAATTACACGCTTTTGTTATTTATATTCTTATATTTTAGTGTTTGATTTGCATTATGTCAATAGGAAACGATGCGATTCATGCTTTAACTAAAAATGGGAACCAGACACTTCGGATTGAGCTTCAGCGTTTTAATGGTGAAAAGGCTTTTGCTCAATATTCCACGTTTTCCCTCGGAAGTGAGGACACTTTCTATAAACTTAATGTGTCTGGATATTCCGGAACAGCGGGTAACTAAATGCATATTTTTTTTCTTTTAAGATGTATTGAGTAAACTTAGTTTTACTTTGGATTCGACATATCAAGCCCATATAAGGAACATTTATTTAAAAAAAACTGTACCGGCTACAGCGGCCAAGTTGAAGAGTGTTTGATTTGTAGTCGGGGGGTACCGGGTACGAATCTCGTCTCCGAATCCATGTCAAATCAACACGTAATCATAGTTCGTGTCTGTTCCTTTGCCAAATATCGGGTACTGAAACATACCATTTCTCTTTATGATATCCGGCTTTAGACAAAAAGTACTTTTAAATTCATAAGAATTTAAAGTAATATGACAAAGAATTTTGATGAATATAGGAATAAGTATACATGTACATGTATGAATACATGTATGAATATTGCATGCAATGCAACTTATTCCTCAGATCAAAAATGAACATTAATACTTGCCATCTGTATATTAAAAAATCATATTATCCTGTTACAGGTAACAGTTTGGCTTATCACAATAACAAAAGATTTGCTACTAAGGACAGTGAAGTCGTCTATTCTGGACGATATTGTGCAAGGGGGCGTCATGGTGCTTGGTGGTACTATACTTGTAGTTACTCAAATCTAAACGGAAAATACGGAGACGTTGGAGAAAAGGGAACAGAATACATGGTATGGCATCACTGGACAGGAGGCGAATCACTTAAAGAGTCAACAATGATGATCAGAGAAACTCAATAATCCATCTATCTTACATCTCTATTACATTGTAATAGCTTTCCGCTGTACATGTCTTATTTATAACAAGAATATTTCACAAAATATGTATAATGTTTATCTCGTTGACATAATTTATTTGTCTCGTAAATTATTAGCAGTACTGGATTTCTTTTGAAATTCAATATTCACAATGTGTTTGCTGTCTTGCAGAACTTTTATAGTGCTTGGTAGAACATGACGAAGGAAGTTTAACCCGATGACTTTTATATTTTACTTATAGAAAATTGTGAAAATCACACCCAATAAAGATTTACAGATTAAAAACTCTTTCAAAATATCTGTTAGGTTGGTACTTAACATGTATTATAAACTTTAGAAAAATATACCATCCAAGCTGATGAATTTTGATGGAGAAAAGCAAAATGGTAAAAATCAGCTAATGTGATTTATCAAATTTTTTTTGTTATTTTGTTTTTCCTCACCTGGCTTGGCATTTTGTTATTTGGTGTTAATTTCGGTCACGTCAAATGTTTATTTTACGTTACAAAATTAATTTGAGGTTTCTTTTCTTTTATTTTTAATGATGAAAAATATAAACCTAGTACAATGTAATGTAGGCAAACATACAATGAAGTTCATTGAAAACACTAGCAATTAAATTCTCTTCCATTTTTCATGAATATTGCGTGAGGGAAATGTATGCATATTCCATATCATACCGTATAAGCAGAATTTTTAGCAAGGATTTAATTTTTACTTTATTGGCGAGGGTGCTGAGATCGCTAAAATTGCACATCTCTAAAAATAAATTGCGTTTTATTTGAAATAGCTTCTTCAGTGAGCATTTTAAATTCGCTAAAATTGAATCTCGCTTAAAATAAAAAAAACCCAGTTTTTAAGGATAAATCGCTAAATTTGCGTCGATCTCGCTAAAATCTCAACTTACACGGTATCAGTAAGTGCAAGTGCCTTTCCTTTGTTCAGTATACTACAAATAACGATATATCTTGCTGATTTAGCACTAAATTAAATTTCTTCGTTCAAAGTCCCTATTCCCCATCTTAAGTCTCAACCCTCACACAGACTATTACATTCTGGGTACTTTTTCTAACAGTAGATCTAAATATTTCAAATAATTCAGTCTTCAAAAAGAAGAAGAATCGATTCTGAGAATCGACTACTTCCTCTCCCTCACTTTTAGTTTTTAGTGAAAAGAATTCTCGATGACGTACAGTTTACAAAGGTTTTGTATTTATAAATATTTCAGTTTTCTCCTTCCCCTTTTTATATGCTTTGCAACGTACGTACCTACGTATGAAAGAACTTTATTCGGTAATAACCGATATTTGCCCACCAAACCATACTTTGATGGAGAAATATTTAATTATGTTCTTAAACAGGGGGGTATATGCTGACTTCAACGCACTAAATATTTTCATAAGTAATTACGTCATATGTACGAAATGACGACACAAACATGACGTAAATTTCAGTTTTTATGAAATCAATTCTACTGAAAAATGTACATATTTCGTCGATATTTTGAGTAAAAGTCACCGAGCGTATGTGTGTTCAGGCTCAATATTTTGATATAATGTGAAGAATGATAATATCAATGAAAATGTAAAAATTAAACCTGAACAAACTTGCGCTCTATAGATTTTAAAGCTAAAACTGTTGGAATTTTGTCCATTTTTTCCTCTTTCTGAAAAAGGATATAAAATCGGACTAGTTTGTGACGTCATAAAAACAAAAATTGTTAATAAACTACTTTGAAACAATAATATATGTTCTGTTAATTTATATTTCTCATACAATTTATTGAATTCAGCACATTTCAGGAAGTTTTCAAAATTTGACTTTTGTGGGGGGCAAATATATGCAATATACCGTATATAGTTCTTTACATGCTCCTTGCAGTTGTATATCTGTGTAATGGAAGCAAAGAATGTTTCAAAGAGCGTTTTATATTTGCTTTCATCAAAATTCAGAATTAAAAAAAATAATAAGGACTGAAGTTGAGGAATTTTGATGACAGTGCGGTCAGATCTGTATCAGATTTAAGGGAATATATAGAAGCATTATCCATTCCCTAAACTAGATTTTGTTTAAATAAACTGTTACTTTGTACTGTTACTTAAGTGGAAGGAATGAAGTGCACTGTTTGGGACCGCCAATGTCTGGGATATGCAAGCAGATCTAAACAGTTCATTGTAGTTTCCACTGGAAATAGCATCTTCCCATCGGAGACCTGATATTATATAAATGGTGCCTGTTTTGGAGGGTAACAGTCAGCCGACAATGGTTTTCCGAGGAGTGTCAATTTCAACCGTTACCCTCCAAAACAGGCACCATTTATTTTATTATACCGAATGTCTGCTTGATTTACTACGTCAGCAATACAAATCGTCGATCGCCTTTCGACGTTTAGAAAGCTTTCAAACTCCCCGCTACTTCGAAAAAGATTTACTGACCTCTTTATTGTTTATTTGATACTCTACGAGTCCTTTATCATCTAAAGTTTCGTTATTTCTGCACTCGCAAGCATGGTTCATCTCTTGTTTGTTGTTTTCAAGTAAGCTACATCGGACGCAAGCTTTTATTGACGTCAAGTTTATTTCGGTTCTTTCAAACGCGCAACTGACGTTTTGAGAATTCTACGGTGAACCGTACGCGCATACTTTCCATTACCATTTCCGTTGAGGCATTACCGTTGTGTTACCCGTTGTCAGGTGTGTTGCTAAGGCTGAGGGTAATAGAACAGATTGTTAACTGCGTCTAAACCAATCAGATTTTAGTATTTAACATGAAAGTATAATAATGTTAATAAGTCTACCGTAGCCCGGCTTATTATTATGCTGGAACTTACAGTGCCGGGGGAGGACAGAATCGTTGAAGCCCATATACGGAAAATGAAAAAAATGTCAGGATCTGGTGTCTGATTGTCAACAAAGGAGCTGGAGAGTGTGGTGTCTCCCAGTGGAAGTTAGATGATGTGATTTTGTGGGGCAAATTATGTGGAGGGCCTCGGGGATTATCCGTCTAACATGCACTAAGAGAAGACAACCCGCAGGACGATTGGGCAGATAGGCAGAAATGGATATGAAAGAAAAGAGAAGAACAGGGGAAAGTACAACATAAAGACCCTGTGTGTTTGCTTGTAAACATTACATGTGTTGCAGTGAAGGCGCAGAGCTGAATGGTTCCGGGCTGGGACTTGATCAGCCCAGTCGGCGTATACCTCTAGAGTTTGTAGTGGAGAGCGCCGGAACAACCATTAATGGAGGACCAAACAGAGGACATGGCCATGGCGCATCAAACACAATCAAGATGTATACGGGTATTACGTTACTATAAGTTTAATGAATTAAAAAATACATAATTTTTTGTAGATTGCAAAACCTTCTTTAAATGCAAATATTTATAATTTCAACAGAACTAATAAGTCCGTATGTAATTATATATAATAGTATATTTTGACGGATTAAAGAAAATGTAAAATAAATTATTTAAGAACTATATAACTTCTCTTTTTTTATGGACGTTCGATCCTGAGCCTTTGAGCGGATTTTGGGCCCGCCCTTTATTTTGAAATACCTTGTCAGATTTTAACATTTATGACCGTTTTTATTAGGAAGTACAATAACATAGTAATGCTTCATAGAAATAGAAAATAAACACCTATAAGATTAAAGGCATTGATGATGAGTGTACATGTATATGTAAATCAAAGCTAAAACAGAATACACAAGTAGAAGAAGTGGAATTGATTTCGCTCTCAGTGCAACTGAACCAAATTAAATTCATCTAATTCAAATATTTAAAAAAATCTGTAGGTCACAGATAAAATGAAACTGACAAAAGAATTGATTGTTTGTTTAAAAAAAAAAACGCCTCTTACGAGGCTTAATCCAAATATATTTCACATCTATTGTACTGAATCAGTAGCCCATCTTGCTGAACTATCACCGTTACACAAACGATGGATTTTAAAATGACATGCACAGTTAGATTTATTTTGGAAGATTATTTTTTCTAGCCTTTAGATCTTCTCTTCATTTTTGCAAAGATTTGTTTGTTTCTTTCAATTAAAATGCACACAAATATGGTTTGAAAATCATGGAGAGACGACCCAAAGATAGAAAAATTTTCAAACAACCTGTTTTAAAATGTATCATTTCGTACTAATTTTCTGATCTAGCCAATTTTCAAGTTATTTGATAGCTAATCAAAACTCACTTTCGGGAAAATATTTTCCTTTCCCATTTCACTGGAACCGAATTTGCCAATTTAAAGTGTCTTTTCTGTCCTGTTTTGCCCCGCAAGCTATGCTATAATTGTTTGTATTTTATTTCTACCATGCTTTTTGATGGAAAAATCATTAAGGTACAAGCAGAGGATTTATGAACCTCAATTGTAGTTAAGAAAAAGAAAGTGGCCGCACTAGATGGGCAGTCGGCAGGAATCACTGACACGAAACAATTCAGATTTAAATGCCCAAGCACCATGTAGTAATACATATCTTATACAATGAACCTAGAAACTTCACGAGAATGGATTTCTGCCTTATGTTTCTCGATTTGTAGGTAATTTGTTTTTCAATTAAAAGGTGTCATGAAAGATAAGTTATCTATGCTGCAGACATTCAGAAGAATGTGATAGAAGTCTAACTCAAACTTATTTTTGTGTTCAGTTTTTAAATGCACTGAAAATATTGAATGTAACAGTACGATCGAAGTTTCTCGTTTTTTTTAATACATTCAATATTTTTTCATCAGGTGTAACTTTGTATTTGCAAGTTCATGTATGTTTATCTCTATTTGGGAACGTTAGCACTATAATGAACAAAATATGAACGCATTGAAAAAAAAAAAACAATTAATGTAAAATAATTTATGAAACATAATTAGTAACTATATTCAAAGAGTATTTCTTTAAGTACCAAATTCAAACATTATAAGCAAAAAGATTTTTAAAAAAATAAAATATTAAAATCACTGTATTCGAACCTAAAATTCTGCTTCGATATAGCTTGAATCCAGCGACAAACCAATGTAGCTACCGCGGGACACTATACGTAGCTAGCATTTAAATCATTATTTAAAGCCAGAGCCTTATACATTGTATAATTGGACTTTGTCAATTTTCTACCAGAAAATAAATGGAAAAAATTTAGATTTTGTTATTTCTGGGTCGTCTCTCCATTTTTTAAACAACTGGAATAAATTTTACGGTTAAAAATACACCGATAACACATTTAAAATTCATGGAGAAAAGACCCAGAAACAACGAAATTAATGAAAAACGGCTATAAAAGAGTCGATTTTTGCATCATTTGACTCCTACGGCTATATTCAGGTGCATATTCAAATAAAATCAAACATATTTAACTGAATATTTGCCCATTTTACATTCACCTACAACACGTTCATTGGCTATGTTTTGAAAAAAATGTATAAATCAATGATATTTTTTAATTCTTTTTATGAGCCGCTTTTCCTGCCGAATTGCCATCTTAAGCGCCCACTTTCTTTAGCCTTTATTCCCATCTGTTTCAAAATTGCATTTCTGTGAATTTAATTCATGTAAGTGTAATCTTCCCAATAGATCAACAATTCACTAACTTTAAACCGATACTTTCTTGACCTTGCGCAATGTAGTTTAAGTGATTTGGTTTGTAGAGAAGAGGCCCATGGGCCACATCGCTCACCTGAGCACTGTTGCTAGTAAAAGTATAAATTGGTTTATTATTGAAAAGGTAAAATCCAAAAGTAGTCCCATGAACAATCATGGATTTTCTATCTTTGAGAAGATGATTTTTAAAGAATTTTCCTATATATTTCTATGTAAAACTTTGGTCGGCCATTTTGGCCCCGCCCTACCCCTGGGGGTCATGATTTGAACAAACTTGAATCTACACTACCTGAGAATGCTTCCATATAAGTATGATGAATTATGGCTTGGTCATTCTTGAGAAGAAGATTTTTAAAGAATTTTCCTATATATTTCTATGTAAAACTTTGGTCGGCCATTTTGGCCTCGCCCTACCCCCGGGGGTCATGATTTGAACAAACTTGAATCTACACTACCTGAGGATGCTTCCATATAAATATGATGAATTATGGCTTGGTCATTCTTGAGAAGATTTTTAAAGAATTTTCCTATATATTTCTATGTAAAACTTTGGTCGGCCATTTTGGCCTCGCCCTACCCCCTGGGGTCATGATGTGAAGAAACTTGAATCTACACTACCTGAGGATGCTTCCATATAAATATGATGAATTATGGCTTGGTCATTCTTGAGAAGAAGATTTTTAAAGAATTTTCCTATATATTTCTATGTAAAACTTTGGTCGGCCATTTTGGCCTCGCCCTACCCTCTGGGGTCATGATTTGAACAAACTTGAATCTACACTACCTGAGAATGCTTCCATATAAATATGATGAATTATGGCTTAGTCATTCTTGAGAAGAAGATTTTTAAAGAATTTTCCTATATATTTCTATGTAAAAATTTGGTCGGCCATTTTGGCTCCGCCCTACCCCCGGGGGTCATGATTTGAACAAACTTGAATCTACACTACCTGAGGATGCTTCCATATAAATATGATGAATTATGGCTTGGTCATTCTTGAGAAGAAGATTTTTAAAGAATTTTCCTATCTATTTTTATGTAAAACTTTGGTCGGCCATTTTGGCCTCGCCCTAACCCGGGGGGTCATGATTTGAAGAAACTTGAATCTACACTATCTGAGGATGCTTCCATATAAATATGATGAATTATGGCTTGGTCATTCTTGAGAAGAAGATTTTTAAAGAATTTTCCTATATATTTCTATGTAAAACTTTGGTCGGCCATTTTGGCCCCGCCCTACCCCCGGGGGTCATGATTTGAATAAACTTGAATCTACACTACCTGAGGATGATTCCCCATAAGTTTCATCTTTCCTGGCACAGTGGTTCTTGAGAAGAAGATTTTTAAAACATGCCACCAAATTTTCATTAATTCCCAATTATCTCCCCTTGAATGAGGGCGTGGCCCTTCATTTGAACAAACTTGAATCCCCTTCACCCAAGGATGCTTTGTGGCAATCTTTGTGGTTGAAATTGGCCCAGTGGTTCTTGAGAAGAAGTCGAAAATGTGAAAAGTTTACAGACAGACGGACAGACGGACAGACAGACGGACAGACGGACGCCGGACAAAATGTGATCAGAAAAGGTCACTTGAGCCTTCGGCTCAGGTGAGCTAATAAAAATGAAATGTTGCCTAAAGTTCTAAAATTTCGGTTTTTCATTAAAAAAGCCATTAATTTACAAGCAAAACAGAAAACAAGATAATTTCATTTTTATTAACATACATGTATATAAAGAAAAAAATTCTATGATTGGATTCTAATTATAGAGAAAATACAAACATACAAATGTCTTTAATACATCTAGAAATAGTTTGCGAATTGAGTAAAAAATATCCTTTATACAATTATCTAACAGGTTTTCAATTAAATTTAGAAAATGATAGAAGCGCTGAGGTGTGATTAATTAACCTAATTTAACAAGGGAATGAGAGAGAGAGAGAGAGAGAGGTTGTGGGAAGAAGAGGGGATTAAATCTTATTGTCTCTGGGTTTGACCATTATTGGTACAACATGCTTTGGCGTTGCAAATGTGCGGTATGTATACTCCATAACTAAATCAGTACCCGGCACAAGTGAGACTTCTAAACGTTGGAAAATCTAGAAAGCAAAAAAAAAAAAAAAAAAAAGGAAAAATAAATAAACATAAACTGCTGCTTCATGCATTTAATATTTCAATGTATAATATTAATCAATCAAAGTTTATTTTTAAGGGGTGCGGACGAATTAGCTAAATTACATTGTAGATCACACTTATTTGAATGTCAAATTTGATATATAATAAAATTTCTTAAAATACGTTTATTAAATATAGAAGCACATTAATTTTATTGGTGTTTGTTAGGTTAAAGGTTCGCTAAATACCTTTGCAATGAGTACATGAATTTCATTTTCTGCAAATCGTTGCCCAATACATTTTCTGGGACCAAATCCAAACGGTAAGGTGGCAAATGGATTGGTGTTTTTGTATTCCTCCGTGAGAGTGTTGTCATCTCGGACAAATCTTTCTGGGAGGAATATCTCGGGACTTTTGAAAAAACGGGGATCCTCACACATATTTTGGAAACAAATTGCAATCTCAGTCTACAAAACCACAAAAGGAACTTAATTTTATATAAAAACACTATGAAAAAAAGTTGCTCTTTTGATATCTCATTTTTTACATAATTTAATCCAAATGAAGAATATTTGTATCTCCGCATTCCTGGGAAGTTTATTCTTCATTCTGGTCACGTCTGGTTAAGTATCAAGCAATAAATTTTTAGGCTTTATTATATACAATTGATTTGCAAAAGGTCGACACAAATACTGTTTCATTCATTTCATTGTTAGTATCTGTAATGAGAACATTCGATGTCCTTAAGAACAAGATCAATAAATTGTATTGTAAAGAAAATAACATAAAGCCAAAAATATCATAACATAAGAAGATAAATAAACCTTACCCCAGCTGGAACATGATATCCACCGACCACTACGTCTTTTTCGAAACGCCGATACGAACCCGGGGATGTTGGTGCATAGATCCTTCGAGAAAATGAATAACAAATAAGTATATATTATTTGCTATATTGCATCTCCTAATGCCATTTTTTAAAATTGACAAAGAGTTGGTGGCAAATTGTTTGTTGTTTAATTAAAGTCTTAATACTTTGAATATTTATATTACTTTTTTTGGTTTTCATAATCAATTTTTAAAAATAAATAATAAAATATGATCAGATGTATACATGTATAAAGTAAGATCGAGAAAGAAAAATAAATATATTAAAACCGTTTACCAGTTTACCAAAACAAATGAAAATACGATGCAAATGATTATAAGAAATAGAAAGGTAATTATACCGATTTTTATCGAAACAGTCATTTCATAGTAGTGACTTATGAAGAGTAAAGCTACCTCATAGTTTCCCTGACGCATGCCTTCAGGTATGGCAGCTTTGCCAAACTTTCCTTGGTGATATCATTTTGGCCACACACAGAAATTATTTCGTTACGAAGTTTCTCTTGTTTCTCAGGATTTTTTGCCAGTTCAAACAACAGAAAAGTTAAGGTATTTGAAGTCTAAAATAAAGTGATAATTTTCTTAATCATATATCGAAAGTAAGTTTCCATAATACATGTACTAAGATAGAAACAAAATACTTTTATACATTGATTTGTTTATGCACAAAATATACTTTGAACCAAAGACTGTTTTCATATTGAAAGAACAAGACTGTTTTCGTATTGAAAAAACTGGACTGTTTTGATAGTTTTTAGATGACCATAAAAATAAATGAGACAGCTATCATTTTAATCATAACTGAAGAAAATTCTTTCGTTTATCTAAATACTTACCGACTCTACACCAGCAATTAACAAATCCATGATTGTTCTGTCCACCATTTTTGGCGTCATCTTTGGGTGACACAATAATGCGTACATAAGATTTGGTTCTTGGAGATAATCCTCGAGCTTCCCTTCCAGTTTGGCATTTTCAAGTTTTTCTGAAGCACTTTTAATCTCAGTTTGACAAATGCTGAAATCATATAGACACTTTATATTTTTTCTTATAGCATTTGAGCCATGCAAGTTACTTGTTGTATTTTATGTATATGGATCAACGATGATATAATAAATGTGAAATAATTAATCCATATATAAACGTGAAGTTTTAAGACCAAAAAAATTGACACAGCAGTACAGACCACATAGCGTGAAACCATACTCAATACCTACCCACTCTGCTTAAACTACAGGACAAATGCTGTGAATATAATTTACAAAGATGCATGAATGTATCTATGCACATCATGTGGCATGAATATTTGCAAGATATTTAACATATATATTATATCATATACTTAGTACATTGTATTGCTCCTTGATAATCTAAAGACGAAACATGATGATGTTTTATTTTTCAACTTCTTTGCAACTCTTTTTTTTAAATTTAAGTCAAGAACAGAAAAATAAAAAAGAACTACATTTAAGGACAGATGATACAAACAAAAAATGGATGCCTGGATTGGTATGTATTTTTTGGCCTAATTTCATTGTAAATGAATAATAAATTTCTAGAATGTAAAGAAATTGTAAACCTTCTGTGATGTTCAAAAGTCTACCCTTCTGAAACCATCCCTATTAATCTGTACAAATATTTATCACTTTAAATTCCATTTTTGTCGAAATTTGAGTAAAAAATTAAAAACTACGCGGTGAAAGTTATTCATTTTATTTATTTAAAATGACCCATGTTGTTATTTTCAAATTCTTTGACAAAAGTTTGTATCATCTGTCCTTAAGTTAAAAAAAAAATTTACTTTCAGTTGGAAATTAAACGTTATCATTTCATAGTTTCTCGATGCATACCTACATATAATTATGACTAAAAAGAATATCCAGGTTTTTATAAATGTGCTTTAGCATATTCTTACCCATGGATATGATCAGCTCCTTGTTTAAATTTTCTGTATAGTGGTGTGTTGAAAAAGCGATAGGGTTTAAAACCCATGCCCTTTAGATCCTTGTCTATGGCATCAAATAAGTCTTCTAGGAGGTTTATATCAATGACAGGTTTGTTCTTAAGACACCCAAGACGTCTGTTGAAGCAAAGCATGCCTACGCCTGCAAAAAAACTACTTTTCAGCACACCATATATGTAAACCCTAACAAGCAGAGAATTCAGATTTCAAATTGATAAATACGTATTCATGAACAATGCCAATATTTTCATACAGATAGGATATATTTATTACATACTCTCTGTAGCATAGTTAACAAGAGCAGACCGAAGGTCTTCAATTTTCCCGCCATTTTGGTATTTTTCAACAAAGTCTTCTGCCACTTTGGACAAGGTTCCAACATATGCAGAGACAGCTACTGGTCTTAATATTAATTCCTGTGACGGTTTCCGAAGCTTAGCCCATTCTTCACCATTTCTAAGAAAAAAAATATTTTGTTGACAGATATAAGCGTTTTGTAATTTCTGTGCAAGATAAACTGACCGTACGTAGTTGCAGTTGCTTTAATTTTGTTTGAATTTTTTTTTATTAAAGTAAGAGTTTGGCTTAATATTTTACTTGATTTATGTTTACAATATTCCAAAAATGTTTTTTTTTGTTCCAGGTAAAAAACATAATTCTCAAATACATGTTTCGAGTATTCAGGCAGCTATGTCTATCTTCATAACATTAATGCACATATCCAAAGCAAACAATAAGTTAAACAATATATTTACATGTAGTTTGATTAAAACTTGATGAGTAATTTAAAGAGGAGTTTTTTAAAAATTCCTTTTTTTGTTCTTCAAATAAAAAAAAATTCAGCAATATATTTCTTGGGTATCTAATCCATTGCTTTAAATACCTTCTACGCAAAAAAAATATTCATTAATATATGTGATAAAACAACGAATGTATTATTAGTGGAGTATATAAAGCTATTCATCTATTTAAATTACAGTCTGTCTAAAGTTAGAGCCTACTATTTAACTTTGTTGTACACCGATGTGAAATAGCAAGGTCTTGCTTTAGTCAGACTCTTTCATAAGCATACGAATTTATTTACGTCACTCACAATCGGCGAACGTCAGCCGATTCAGTTATCTGTATTAAGATGAAAGGGAAGTGTTAAGGAGGAAAGCCAAATCAAATTTTTATTTTATAGATCTCTAATGAAACATATGGATATAGCAAACATTATTCAATATCAAAAGTCCATAAAACAATACAAAAGAAGAGCAGAGCAAACACGGACCTTCAAAACATCAGACGTAAGATCAGGTGCCATGAAAGAATGAGCATCCCCTGCTAACCGGTCAGACCAACCGTGTGCTCCCTTTTAAACAACGGTTTCAGAATTGGAAGACCAATATTAGCTCTCAAGTATTATACCTTCCCCATTTGAAAAGCGGGAGGGAATATAGTAATCGGTATGTCCGCCCATCTCTCTGTACGTCCGTCCGTCTAGCTGTACATCCGTCCGTCTGTCTGTTACGCTTTGTGGTACTTATCTCCAATCCGCAACTCCTCTCATACCACTGTAAATTTAATGATACTTTCACAGATTCTTTATTACAAACGCCATTGTGTACCTCCTATTTAAGTTTTTGATCTGACACTTATTTCGGGTCTCCAAGAGCAAAACAGGGACTTTGGGAGGTGGGGATATCATTTAGTGAGCTTGATGCTCACAGAACCTCTAGTTTAATACGAGTCTTTTGAATTTTTTAAAGGAAAATGAAAAAAAAATTATTTGGATATAATGTGATTTACGGTTTAATATTTGTTGTAAAAAATTTCAAAATATGAATGCCTGGTAAAATATTTAAAGAAATGCTGGATAGACTTTTTTAAAGTAAAAAAAATATTTATAAGAATAAACACATTATTTGTGAATATTTTCCTTGAAAAGTACGAAAAAATCATATATAGTAATTAAGAGCTAATATCGTCTTTTCAGTGCTAAAACCATAACTTAATAGGGATGTCTTTAAGATCTATGAAAAAAAATATTTATAAGAATAAACACATTATTTGTGAATATTTTCTTTGAAAAATACGAAAAAATCATATATAATAATTAAGAGCTAATATCGTCTTTTCAGTGCTAAAACCTTAACTTAATAGGGATGTCTTTAAGATCTATGAAAAAAATTAGTTTTGGCATTCTTCTTTAGCCACACAGATCTCCTCGGATGGTTCTTATCTCGCGCATTTGTATATGGAGCTTAGCATAATCAGCCTAAGATTGCCGATTGAACTTTAACTATGGAAGCACGGAATCGTCCGAGATTTGCCGATAGACTCACAATGTTGCCAGACTTTGGCTGAAGTCTTCCTTGTCGTTGTATATTCTGAGAATGTCAACAGGTGGACGGAAGGGATTCTTTGCTTGTATTTCGAGAACCTCTTTGCCAAGATCAGGGTGATAAATGAATACTCCCCATTTGTTATGAGTGGTTCTTATCCTCACGATGTCTCCAAACCTTTTATGTAGAGCGGTCGTAAAATCTCTCAAATCAAATGGATACATAGAACATCCTAAAGGTACACAAAGAGAGAACGAATACACACATTTTCCTTTATACACAGTTCCAAAAAAGAGTCCCGAATGTACGTTAGTAAAAAAAAAAATCCAAAAACTCTTTTTAAAGTGTTTTGATCGTTACAAGTGGTTTACTTGTGATCTAGATCTTAAGTATATTATGTCTTTATATATATGAAACATAAAAATTGATACTTAAGAAAAGAGAGCAAAGATGAAAAAAATTCATTTTAAGAGTTCTTTGTTATAAGCATAAGAGAAATACGCACAGTTTTACCTACCCATTGATTTCAGAAGAAACATATTACCAATTGAATATGGTAATGCAAATTTTCCAGTAGCACCTGGAATTTCTTGAAATGGTTTAACATCCGGAGATTCGTAAGAGAAGGCAGTGGCTGATCTTGAGGAAAACTGCCGCAGATATAAACGCTTAGAAAACCTAAGGTGAACAAGTATTTAATACTTACTTCATAAAAAGTAACTGAGAAAAGGCACATGCAATGATTTATAGTAAACGTGGATTTTAAGAGCAAACATGCTTACAAACGCTGACTTCGATCAATTTCTTCTCCTGACTTCGGATTATTCAATAGTTCATCATAAATCAAAAAAGTCCCTGGCAATTCGTTATAAGCAAGATTTATTTAATTTTGCTTATCATAATTATTTTTCCTGGTTTACATAAATATCTGAATTTTAACAAAAAAAAGTTCAGTTACAGAGATATCTGGAAGAAATAGTCTCATTGAATTTATCTTAATATCCATTAGTTAAAAAAAGTTGTACATTTCATGAATTTAATCATATTTTATTATATTTTTTCTTACTTAAATACATAGTCTTACCTCTTACATATAGCATTCATAATGAATATTTTATTTCAGCATCTGAAATAAAAAAAACTAAAATATACTGAAAACATGGAAAATATATACTGAAGCTATTCTTTGATTATGTTCACATGAACTTCATTTTCTCAATCGTATTTCAAACGAACAAGTTACATGCAATTATATACAAAGAATAAATAGGACATCATGTTGTTAAATGTTTCTAGATATTTATGGACCGAATAAAGAGTTTTGTTTTCATTACGGTTTGCCAAAGGTCAACATGTGCAAAAATTTATTTGTACGATAGCTTTAAAGCTATGCTGTTTATAAAGTTAATACTTTTACAGTTTATACATATATCATTGATTTGCAGATATAAAGTATCAATTAATAAAAAGTAATGAAACATACATATTTATCAAATTAAAAAAAATCCATATATTAAAAAAATCAACTTAATTAATTCTGTACTTATAGTGATTGCCATCATTATAGAAACATAAATTATGTTTACCATTTAAAAAGGGATAATTGGACTTAGATAGTCTTTGGAAAGTTGTTTTCCCTGTTTATTTTGCCCAAATGTTCCGATATTTGAAACCGAAAGTACAATGCAAAATGACTAATTTTATACGGGTCTTGTCTTTTTACATGTTATGCTTTCAAAAACAGCCTTTCAGACCATTCACGTCCAACTTGCCCTTCACTGATAAACATATTATTTCTGCAATTATGGTTCTCACTAAAACTACAGAAATAAGCAGGTGCATTTGTTTAGAAAAGGAACATCTTCAATGTATTCAGTTTTACACAGTAAATTTTTTTTAACTAATCATTTCCCTTTGACACTTTTTTATCTGTTAATCAATGATATGTTTGTAAACTGTAATTACTTTATATTTCCCAAAGATATGGAGCTTAATTGTTAAAATAAATTTTTGGACATCTTCAACTTCGCAAAACCTTAATGTGTTTTCGTACAGAACAAACACTTGAAAGGTAAACAATAACATTCATACGTATAACGCATATACCTGAGTGAATTCAAAATTATTTAATAATTTAACCTATGAAAAAAAAATTATTCACATCTAAAAACCTTACCTTTCCAACTAAAATCAACCTCTTTACAAGACAATAAATAAATGAGGTCGAGCAAAATTTATGGTCCTCTTTCGTAACTCCTTTTGCTTTTCTGCTCCGTTTCGTAGCTCAATTAAATCATAAGGCGATACGTTTTTGCCAGAATTCTTTCAATTGGAAAATTTACAACCGACCCACAAAAGTAAGAAAAACACACACGTACACAAAAACATTCTTAACTTCTTGGAACATTTTAGATATTTTTAGTAAGATATGTTGGCTTTAGAATAATATATTAAGGAAGAATGATGTATTTTCCTTCAACTATTATATAGAAAATCCAAGAGTAGCTTCTTGCAACGTACGATTTTAAATTTGTTTTTTATAATAGTGTTGCGTGTGTGTTTCATATGTTGAATGTCTCTGGTTTTATTTTTTAAATATTGGTTTTTATGTCATAGACATTTGCTTTTTCAATAAAAAACATTTATCGTGGTACTAAATATCAATAATATTAATTAATATTAAAGGAATGCTGCAGTTCTTCATTGAACATATTTTGAAATCTTTAGAGACCGCGTCTTTCATGATCCATAAACTCTTGGAATTCTGGTGGGTACTAATTTTGCTCTTACATTAATCGATCTGTTTTTGTATTAATATTCTAGGAAGAAGAAATTATTTAAAAACTGAAGCATTAGAAGGAAATACCTCGAAAATGAGAAATATTGACATTTTCTCAGTTAACAAGATCGAGTTTCTTCCTTTCATATATGTCGCCTCGATATCTCCCAGTAAACTTGAAATATCAAGAACACCCTAGAATCTGCTTTATGTATATCAATTTTCCTAACGACTAAGAACGATAAGGGCCAAAGAACAACTAAAAACAAACAAGATGGTTTTATATTTTCCATCGTCAATTTTCATTATTTATGAATTTTCCGCTATCAACAAAAGACAGTATGTATGTCTCCCAACTTATTCGCTACTAAAGAGCAACTCCGGAAAAAGATAAGTTTTTAAAAAGTTCCAGGAAACTGACAGATTCTTTTATGTTACAGAGATTTCAACCACCTTGTTTAAAGCTCAAAGTAGAATTTTTAAAACTTCGATGGTCATTATAATGCATAAATTGGTTTGGTGTGGTTAGGCAATTTGATAAAAAGAATTGAAACAATAGAATTTCGTTTTATGTGTTTGTTTTTAAACAAAGCAAACTCTGTATAATATCATATTGCTGGTAAAATAACAGTAGGTATATACTTAACGACGTTCGATCCTGATATTTAAAGTCTTAAATTTTTTTTGCCAAGTATATTTTTAGTTTCTACATGCATAGCTTAATTAAAATTCAAATCAAAAAATGGGGGTAAATGCGCTTCTTTTGGCGCTACAGAACATTAAATATGACCTTATTGCACTGAAATTTGTGTATTAGTGAAAAATTAATATTTTACGTTTTCTCTCCAATATTTTTATCCAATTATAGCATGAAACAAAATGAACTCTTAAGTTGTTTTAAAAAAGACACTTAAAAATTGTGACTAAGAAAAAGTTTCAAATTCCTTCGCATAATCAATTATTTGACCTTTCTGCACTAATAAAAAGTTATTTTTCTGGCATTGAAAATTTAATTAACAAGAAAATTATTTTAAAGTCTTAAACCTTTTCTGATTTGAGGCAAATAGGTCAAATTTATCTTGAATATTTAGAAAAGAGCATCAAAACTTGGGGTATATGATGTAAATTTTCAGATATTACTAAAAAAGTGTCAATTTTTAGCTCAATTTTTTCCTGGATTTTCAGAATATATTTACTATATTTGTCACTCTTTGTTGATAGAATTCATAAGAAATAATTGAATAGATATTTCAGAACCAGCATAACACATTTCACTGCAAAAAACAGCTTTGTGTGCAACCAGGATGGAAAGATAGGAATCGAAAATTAACAGTACTGTTATAGTTCAAAATGGAAAAACTGATCATTTTCGTCTAAAAAACCTTCCGCCACAAAATATAGTCCCTAGCTTAGTTCTACTTGAATGGAATTTAATCGCGGTTTTTTCATTGCATATAGTTAAATTTGCACTGTAGAATTCAGATTTAATGTAAGAACTTATAAATGATGCAAAATTTTATAAATAAAGGACCTGACCAAAATACTCTCAAAATATCAGGATCGAACGTCCTTAAGAAATAAAGTCTGCGTTTTCGTGAATGTTGCAGAATAACCTGCGAAGTCGAGAAATGTTGTTTGAAAGATAAAAGACGAGGCGTTAGCCGAGGCTTTTATATTTCAAACAACATTTCGAGACCGGAAAGTTTATTCTGCATCATTCAGGACATCAAGGACTTTATTTCTATTCTACCATGTGTACTATAATCGCTAATTTACGGATAATCGTTTCCTCTATAGAGAAACGAATTAGGTCACAATGTCTCGAATACGCTGTTCAATTTAACACCAGAGGTAAAATTTGTTTGCTTACCTGTGTTTAGAATGCAGACAATTTGAGCTTTCGTTACATTAAAAATAGCCTTTTTAAATTACAAATTTGTTCGTAATATGTATTTATCAGTTAAAATGAAATCATGTTCCTGTTTTACTGCTAAAATCACGTTGTTTAATGTGTAGGGAAGTCAATGGGAAGTCAATGGAATAGCCCCGTTTAGCTATAAAAACCCGACATTCATCAGCAACTCCTTATTTACAAGTATGAACATATTCCGCTATCACCTGCATACGTATAATGTGTACGTCTCCCAACTTATTCGATACTAAAGAGCATCCTCAGAGTGCGAATATTTATAAGCAGAGATAGGCTACTGATAGATACATTAATGTTTCAGGGATTTTTACAACCTCCTTTAAACTTAAACTTAGAATTTTAAAAATTCTATGGTCGCTATAATGTCATCATCTACATCATATTTTGGCTGCAAGTTTTCATACTAATTGTAAGGCCTTTTTTTATACTAAATTCGACAACGGAATATTCACCCCACCTGATTAAAAGAACTCTTGTTGGGTATGACTAATCAAAAAGGGATGCTTAATTCTCCTAGGCACCAGATTACAGTTCTGAAATTTCTGGAGGGTCCTGTTTAATGCTTTGTTCACAGATTTGAGTAGTTTGCAGACTTCTCTGAGATCGATAACAGTTTGTTTAATATTCATTGTGTTTTTTTCGGTTGCTGACGTCTTCAAATATGGTACTTTAAGATACCTTAAATGTCCAATAATGTATTTTTTACAATTAACGAGTGATGCCAAGTCCCCAGTACATGGGCCACTTTTATCAAAACCGCACTTTTCCATCATATGTCGGCAATATATGTTTACTGGGTTTAGGGCTGTAGGTCCGGGCTAAATATGTAATTTTTACTAGAAAATAATGCTTTGGTTTTTTTTTCTACATTTGTTTGAAAAAAAATACGAAGAATGATAAAACATATTCTAAAAAAATACTCAATACTTTCTGTGATACAAATTATACATGTTCCGATCATTTCTCGTTCTTTATGTCAAGGGAGGTAACTCAAAAAAGTCTTTTCTATACGCTTCCTTTAGTAAATTCTGTAATTTATCATGACTATCCCAGCAATTTTATTTTCTTATTTTTCTTATTAAATATTTTTCTCAAAATATTGCCATTGATTTTCCCCTAGAATAAATTGTATTAGAAATCATTTACATTTTTAAAAGAACCGTTATATAGCAGTCTTAGAAAGTGAAAAAAACTCGGTTTAAGCCCAACAGAACCGTTTATCATGAAATTCACCCTAAATCTAAAAAATGGGATTATTTTCTCTTTTAGTGTTGAGTATTTTTAAAAATGTGTCGAAATGCATGTGTCGATGCTACAATAGCGATTGTCTGATATCAGCATGGACAGCCTCTCAATAGATTAATCTTCTTGGCATTTTTTGAACAACTTGTCGGACAAAAATCATGTATAAAACTAACGTGTCACATTTACTTTCGATATCTGTTTCGATATAATTACATCTACAAAATAAAAATGGTGAATCATTAAATGGTATTGATATAACAATTGTTAAATGATTCCTTTTACAATTGTTCCAACTATCTAGATTTCCTTTTAGTTGTTTTGTCTTTAAACCATTTTACAAATGAATTGTATCTGATCTGCTTTATGAACCAAAATTGACCTTTTTTACTTTCAAAAAAGCATTCTATTTTAATAATCTTTGTTGGCAGCTAAATACTCCTATTGAATACTAGTAATAGCATTTTTTCTTTCAATACTGAGGAGTTGTACCAAATTGTTTTTAAACATATATTTACACATTAGTAATTGAATCCTGAGATGAATTGAAGAAATTAATGGAAGGAAATGCAGTTCGAATTTTGTTTGATTTTCTTAATTATTTTCACAGAGGCTAGGGGTAAGCATGCCTTAATTCTTAGTAAAATTCTGTGCCTACTGAAGGTTTAGATTTTTTTGGGAAAAAATATTTTTTTGGTCAATTACAGGATATTGCACATCGAAGGGAGACATCGTCTTTCTTCTGGATGAATCGGGATCTGTTGGTGCTCAAAATTTCTTAACAATGAAATATTTTTTACGAGATCTCCTTTCAGAATTTTCTATAGGTCCCAGTGCTAATCAGTTCAGTGTTGTAAAATTCCATTCCTCAGCAACAGAAGCATTTATTCTGAACAGATACACAACCCTTAGCAGTCTGCAGTCGGTAGTTCTCTCCCTTTCTTACTCCTCTGGTGGAACACAAATAGGAACTGCCCTTAACTTCGTTCGTCAGTATTCCTTTTTGGCAAGCAAAGGAGCAAGGGCTGATGCTGCAAAAATTGTCATCCTGATAACAGATGGACAGAGCACAATATCCAATGAAGCCCAATTGTTAAAGGACCAGTTTGTCACTATTTTTTGCGTAGGTGTGACAAGTGGAATCAATGAACAGTTATTGAGAAGTGTGTCATCACATAATGACTACACGTTCATCACCGATAACTTCATCACTCTGTCAGGTATACAGACGGTTCTTGGAGAAAAATCCTGTGCTGACTGTACGTATATATATATATACATACATTTTGATCATAGTGATAATAATAAATGGTGGTCAACATGTGAAATTATATTTTGAAATATTTTTAAATATAACTACTGGTAGAAAAGGTACAAGCCCAATAAATTTATTCTTCCCGTTTCACTAAATTAAAAAAAAACAAAACAATAGAATTTCAGACTTCTTTATTCTCTCTTGAGTATATTGAACTATAAGTTTTTGATAGAAAATGTCTGATGTGACAAATACATTCACATTTTCAAAGAAAAATAATATCTAGAAATTTGGAAATGCTCATTCATTACTCATTCCCTTGCTCTTCTCTGTATGTACTTTTTAATGTCATTTGCATATAAAATAAGTCTAGTATTATACTACTACGTGATATAAATATATTATTTATCGAGTGTTGCATTTTAAATCATTTGATTCGGAACAGCTTTTCAAAAATTATTTGCTTTTGCAAGACAAAAAAGTGATTAAAAGAGTAAAAATGCAACCGTTAATATAATTAGAATGCCCCACAACAAGATTTCTGTCTAGATTTTTAAGTTTTAGTTTATCTCCATACTTTGGTCGAAACACGGTCTCGTTTAAATGTTCCTACGGAACGCCTACGTATTAATATCATACATTGCATAACTTAGTTCAATGTGGTTAGGTACAATGTAATTTGAATGCAGTGCTATTTGAATTAAAAAAAAGGTGGAACAATTAGATTTTCTTTAATGCGTGTGTATTCAAAGAAAGCCTGCATAATTGCATATTGTTGATTAAAAAGACAATAGGTCTCTCTCTCTCTCTCTCTCTCTCTCTCTCAACTATTTAAACCTTGCTCAAGAAATGCAAATGATGAATAAATAGATACATGAAATAAAAATAGTGTGTATCATTTTCGCAGCAATAGATGATTGTTTAAGTAATCCATGTCAGAATGGAGGAACTTGTGAAGATCAGCTTGGAAAATATGTTTGTCACTGTTTTGGCAACACAACAGATAAAAACTGCTACATTCCAGGTAAGATTCTTTAGCCTAGTTAAGAAGTTGAAACTTAATACTGTACACAGAGAAATTTGAGAAATTTTTGCCCCAGTTTCATTTTCGCACCTTTCACTCTACTCAAAACTAGGCAAATTTAAAACGGGGCGAATTCGTACAACAAAGTATAATTTGTTAAAGAGAACTGAGAACTGAGAACTGAGACTAGGCGAATATAAAACGGGGCAAAACTGATTGCAAATTAAACAGGGCAAAAATAACTCTGTAAACTGTATCGAGGGTGTATTGATACTTAAAATATTCAGTATTGCGATATAGGAACTAGCAAATATTTACATGTCCTTTTTGAGAAAATACTGTTTTTTAGAAAAAAAAAATTACAAAATTTAACATTATACATTTTGTTCAATTTCTCCTTTAACTTTATAATGAAACAAAAGTGAAAACTTTGCACGCATTGTTTATCATATATAGGGGGTTCAGGTATAAATTTTCGATGAGGTATATTCAAACAAATATATTCTAGCACAAACATGGACACATTCAGAAATATAAAAAAATTGACTTGTGAAAAAAATTCTAAGTAGAATAGAAGTTATGAAATTATCAATGTTGTGAATACTGCTATTTTATGTAAGAAAATTTAACTATTAAAGAGTACCTACTGATGGCACATGAAAGGAAGAAAAATCTGTTAAATCTTGGTTGTTTTTTAAGGAACGAGTCTTATTTTATTTGGAAGTATGGCAAACTATATATTTTCGGAAAGGTCTACGCAAGCCCTAATTTTCTGTTTCCATGCCAGCTAAAAAATATCCAAGATGGCGGCAAAATATCCAATATGGCCGCCAATACTGAAAATGGCCGATACAGTCTTTTTAATAAACTGCTTTCAAAGTCTTAGTTAGGAAAAAAATCAATAATTGTATATATTCAGTCTAAATTATCCATGCTTCCTGGACAAGGTGTGTGTTAAGTTTATCCCAGACATCTGCTACTACAGGCGGGTACCATAATTATGATATGGAATGATTCTCGCATTTTCCAGAAGTCTGACTGTATATACTCACTGAAAAAAAATTAACCACAAAGTATCATGTTCACAAAGAAAATTATAAATATTTTTATACGGCCTAGTTAGAAGTAAAACATTAAATAAACATTTTCTTTTATCACATTAGAACTTCTGGTTATTCAGTTGTTATACAGTACATGATATGTATTTCAGAATCTAGAGTAAATCCTGACAACAGAATCAAATTTGTAGGGACCATTAGTATATAGGTCCCTGTTTACCGTTTATGTGTAGTAGAAAATGATAATATTTTTCATAGATTTTATTTCCAATAAGTCGATTCCAACATTATTTAATGCCACATTTCTATTTTCTCTTGTGGTTTTACGATATAAAAGTGTGCATGAATTTAAAGGTACATAGAAACTGTTCAAAAGTTGCGTCGGGTTGACGACTTTTGATTGGAATCTGGGTGAATTAATTTCCGAAATTATTACAGAACCACAATATTCAGATAGGCAATTTCCTCAGCTTTCTCTCTCTCTCTCTCTCTCTCTCTCTCTCTCTCTCTCTCTCTCTCTCTCTCTCTCTCTTTGAAACGTGTACATAAACTTCTGCACATTGCATTGAGATGCAACATTAACAATGTTGATCTTCAAACTTTTCAGAATGACATAATGTAGAAAAATTCATTATATTTAATTTCTAGATAAATATGAATAATAATGCAAAAATTACGTTTATAAACATCGATAAATTGTGTGTAAATGGCACGATTACATAGGTATGTCGGGTTACCTGAACCCCCTATCATATACAATTAAGCATTTAGTCTTAAAAAGTGGATATAAAAGCTTTGTGTAGTTGGTCAAGAAATACGTGTAAGTAAACAGTTAAAATTACTAATACCTCTCAAACGAAGTTGCCGAGTTAGTCCGTTAAATATTGAATGAAGTTTGTCATCGGCTCCACGGCAACATGTGGAAGCAGGGCCACCGACTTACGAGTAGTGATGATGATTAAGTGTAAGCATAAAAGTAATGTAAACGTATTACATTTAGCGGTGTATTCTATTTAGCGATTTTGGCGGAAAGCAGAGTCCGGTAATTCAAGTATATCGCTAAATGTATTGTATATTAACATTTATAACTAGCAAATTCAGACAGCACTAAATCAAATTTACGCTAACTTGTTGAAAATTGAATTTCCGCCAAATATCGTACAGGACAAATGTAAATACATTTACAGTAATTAAACGTTTCAATTTGCATCTTTTATTTCCTTAGGATTACCAGTTGTAAGTACAGGATCGGGTGGGACAACCATTCTCGGAGGGAGCATTTCAATCACCTGCAGTATCTCCGGCTCCTATACATTTGTCTTCTGGGAGTTCCAACATAGTGGCATAACTTTGAGGGTTAATACTTCCGACACTACAAAATATTCTGGAGGAACTGTAATTAGCTCTCGGTTAACCATTTATAGCTTTGCTTCTAGCGACATCGGGAGTTATAGATGTTCTGCGCAGAATTCTTACGGCACGTCGCATAGTCCGACTATGGCATTTGTAGACATACCAAAAAGTAAGAAGGAAACTTTAAAATTTTGATTATGATATGCAAGTATATTTGATAATACAAATGAGCATAATGTGAACTGTTTCAAAAGCATGTAACTCGCAAATAGTATATTTAATCGTTGACAAAGTTCAAGAATGAACCATTCTAGAGTGAAGAGATATTTACAATATTTAGCTTACAATTTCAGCCGCACCAACAGTATTTACAAATTCCCCGGTAACAGGACATTTAGGTGGTAATGTCACCCTGTTGTGCATTGTAAGCTCTCCGTATCCGCCCGCAATTTCTGTTACTTGGGAATTCAAAAATGCTACGGTCCACATCGCTTCAGGGGGAAGATACAGTGGTGGAACCGTTTCAGTGCCTTCTTTAACAATCTCTAGTCTACAAATGACAGATTGGGGATATTATAATTGCTTTGCTACAAATATGTATGCATCCAGTAGCAGAGCAAATGTGTATTTAACAGTTGTTCGTAAGTATTTTGTGTCAAACTAGCTTCATAGATATCTATTATACATAAGAAATATGTGAAAACACAACCCAGTGCGACTTTTAGTGTACTTATTAACAAGTAAGTGACATTAATGAAAAAAATAACCAAAAAATTAAAAATTAAATAAAAATTTAATTGTTTCTCTAAGTCCAGACTATATAAATATATGGGTTTGAACAGATATGACATAATTATTCATCCTTAAATGAAAACTTCATGTGTCCTTTTCAGATTTTGTTGGTTTTTATTCTATTTTTCTCTTCTTTGTAAGAATTGCGTTGTCTATCAATCAATTTCTTTATAATGTTCGTTGAAAATATCTCGAGTTTTGAATATGATGTTCTTGACTCTATTTGCAAATTCACTCATTCTTAATAGCAAGAACGCAATGAAAATTGTGGTAAATTAGTTTTCCAAATACTGAATAAATGCTTTGGACTTCGTAAAAAGTGATAGAAAGAAACAAACTTTGAATTTCATACATGTATGATGATGGTTTTCCAAAAATTTGGTTTCAAAAATTAGTTCCTGTCATCTTACTTATAATGAAAAATGCGCTTTCAAAATAAAGTTGACCATTTTACAGATATTGATGAATGCAACAGCGCCCCCTGTCAGAATAACGCTACTTGTCTTGACCGGGTCAATGGTTTTACATGCAGTTGTCCTGCTGGATTTCATGGAGTTTTATGTGAAACTGGTGAGTTATATTGGTAAACAAAATTAAAAAAGGATTCTTCATTTGCCTATGTATCTGTTTACAATGTTACATGTAATTCTCACATTGAAATCAATCTTTGTAATAAACTTTTCCTTCCAGACACTGACAAGTGTTCAAGTTCACCCTGTCAATATTAATGTCTAATGCCAGTTTCACATAGGGTGTTCCTACGTATTGTGATTGTTTACACTTGTTCCGTTGTTCCAGTGGTAAACATCTTGGTTAAATTCAAAGCAAGTTCATTATATCCTAACAGATATTGATGAATGCAGCAGCGCCCCTTGTCAGAACAACGCTACTTGTGTTGACCGGGTCAATGGTTTTACATGTAGTTGTCCTGCTGGATTTAATGGAGTTATATGTGAAACTGGTGAGCTCACCTGGTGAACAAGATGAAATACTCATGAGGAAAGATTCTTCTTCATTTTTTGTCTCATTTAGTTATGTAAATTCAAACTTTGAAATCAATCTTGATAAAAACATCGCCTTTCAGATATTGACGAGTGTTCAAGTTCACCCTGTCGAAATCAAGCGACTTGTCATGACTTAGTCAACGGATTTAGTTGTGAATGTTCCCCAGGATATGATGGCAGCCTTTGTTCCAATGGTATATATCTTTGTTATATTCAAAGCATGTACATTATATTCAAACTAATAGCAATACATATAGTACGTTTCTAAAAAAATATACAATCGTATTAGCTGTATGCATCTATCAATTACTATTAAAGAAAAGTGTGCACAACATTCAATGATCATGATAAAGTCAAAGGATTTAGAACAACCATTTGTGAAGCCAGAGAGCATGTTACATCAACAATGAGAAAACTCTTCTATTTTAACTTTTACCAGACATCGATGAATGTGCGAGTTCCCCATGTCAGAATAATGCTACATGTCTTGACAATGTAAACGGTTTCACCTGTGCCTGTGCTGCAGGGTTCAGTGGAAATGTCTGTCAACTTGTTGAATAAAACAATTCAATTTGAACATTTGAGAAGAAGTTTCCATCAAACACACCTTTATGTCACTGCACTCAAGATCTATTCTCTATACAGATTAGGTATTTTTGGGGAAAGTGCCAAAGTGACTTCTACTCTTTTTAGCGTCTAAGAAAACCTAGAACCCCTGTATGGAAATATTATGTTTAATATTTTGAGGATTCCTTTCAAAAACCCGTCATTTTAAATTTTGTATCTATATTGTTTTCTATAAATGCAATTGAGTCAAACAGTTTTAATGCAATATTTTTTAAATAAAATACGAAATAGAAATTCCGATATATATGCCATTTGATCACACTGCATATTCCTGAAAGACGTCGTTTGTCAATCAATTAATTTGCAAGTTTTGTTTGAAATATATCGATTATTAAATATGATGTACTCAACTCTCATTGCACATTTAATGTTTTCCCTACTAATCAGAACGCTATGAAAATTGTGAATGATTAGTTTTCCAAATATTGAAGTGATGTTTTGTACATAGTAATAAGTGCAACAAACCAACAAACTTTGATTTTCAATTGGTGATGGTCGTCCACTTTGGTCTACAGAGAATTTGTTTTCGTCTCCAAATAATATTGAAAACCGATTTGAAAATCAATTGACCATTTTACAGATATTGATGAATGCATCAGCGCCCCCTGTCGGAATAATGCTACTTGTCTTGACCGGGTCAATGGTTTTACATGTAGTTGTCTTGTTGGATTTAATGGAGTTTTATGTGAAAATGGTGAGTTCACTTGCTAAACAAAATTAAATATTTAAGAGAAAAGATTCTTCTTCATTTTCCTTTTTTCTCATTTTGTTATGTCAATTCAAACCTTGAAATCAATCCTCATAAAAACACTGCCTTTCAGATATTGACGAGTGTTCAAGTTCGCCCTGTCGAAATCAAGCGACTTGTCATGACTTAGTCAACGGATTTAGTTGTGAATGTTCCCCAGGATATGATGGCAGCCTTTGTTCCAATGGTATATATCTCTGTTATATTGAAAGCATGTACATTATATTCAAACTAATAGCACGACATATAGTGCGTTTCTAAATAAATGTACAATCGTATTTACTGTATAAATTTATCAATTGATATTTACGAAAAATGTACATAACATTCAATTATGATGATAAAGGCAAACGATATAGAACAACCATTTGTGAAACTGGTTTTAAAATAAGTATCCCACCCACAAGGGTAGCCAGAGATATGTTACATAAACATTGAGGAAACTCTTCTTTTTTACCTTTTACCAGACATAGATGAATGTGCGAGTTCCCCATGTCAGAATAATGCTACATGTCTTGACAATGTAAACGGTTTCACCTGTGCCTGTGCTGCAGGGTTCAGTGGAAATGTCTGTCAACTTGGTGAGTAAATGAATTCGATTGCAACATTTGGGAAGTAGTTTCCATCAAAAACAACTTCTTAATGTCACTGCACTCACCATCTTTTCCCTATACAGGTTAGGAATTTTTGGGAAAGTTCGTACGTGAATTTTACTCTTTTTCGCGTCGAAAAAACCTAGAATTCCTGTATGGAAATATGTTGTTAAATCTTTCGAGGATCCCTTTCAAAAACCCGTCATTTGAATTTTTTTTATCTATATTTTGTACTATAAATGCCATTGAGGCATACAGTTTTAATGAAATGCTTTTTGAATAGAATACGAAATAGAAATTCCGTTATAGATGCCATTGAAGCACACTGCATTTTTACCTCACATGAGTCGAAGTTCAATTGAGCTATTCTGATAAAAAATGTGTCCGTCGTCTATTGTCGTTTTTGTCGTTGTCGTAAACTTTTCACATTTTCATCTTCTTCTCAAGAACCACTGGGCCAATTTCAACCAAACTTGCCACGAAGTGTCCTTGGGTGAAGGGCATTCAAGTTTGTTCAAATGAAGGGCCAAGTCCTCTTCAAAGCGGAGATAATTATGAATAAGTGAAAAATTAATGGCATTTTTTAAAAATCTTCTTGTCAATGCCACTGGCCAATGAAAGATTACTCAGGTAGTATTTTCAAGTTTGTTCAAAATAGGGTGGGGCCAAAATGGCCAATCAAATTTTTATATTGGAATATATAGAACAAATCTTTAAAAATCTTCTTCTGAAGAAAACTGGGCCAGAAAAGATGAAACTGATATTAAAGAATTCACTTTTGTTCAAATCATGACCCCCGGGGGTAGGGTGGAGGCAAAATGGTCGACCACAGTTTTTTCATGTGAATATAAAGGGAACACTTTTAAAATCTTCTTTTCAAGTATTTCAAAGCCATGATTAGTAATTAATAATAGTGTACTTATATGGAATCATAATGGTAGTGTAAATTCTAGTTCGTTTAAATCATGATTCCCCCGTGGGGGGTTAGTAAAATTCAAGTCATCCTCCCAATCTCAGTAAACTTTCAATTCTTATCTGATACGTGCTTTTTCCAAGCTTATGTGCTCAGGTGAGCGTTGTGGCCCCTGGGCCTCTTGTCCTGAAAGGCGTCGTTTATCAATCAATGAATTTGTTAATTTTGTTTGAAATGTATCGATTATTGAATATGATGTACTCAACTCTCTGTGCACATTCATTTTTCCCTAATAACCAGAACGTTATAAAAATTGTGGATAATCAGTTTTCCAAATTTTGAAGTGATGTTTTGTACTTTGTAATAAGTGCAACAAAGCAACAAACTCTGAATTTCATTTGATGTTGGTTGTCAGATTTGGTCTACAGAAAATTTGTTTTCGTCTCCCAACTAATATTAAAGTTCCGACTTGAAAATCAAGTTGACCATTTTACAGATATTGATGAATGCAGCAGCGCCCCCTGTCAGAATAATGCTACTTGTCTTGACCGGGTCAATGGTTTTACATGTAGTTGTCCTGCTGGATTTAATGGAGTTCTATGTGAAACTGGTGAGTTCACCTGGTGAACCAAATGAAATACTTATAAGGAAAAATCATTCTTCATTTTCTTTTTTTCTCATTGTGCCATGTCAATTCAAACTTTGAAGTCAATCTTGATAAAAACACCGCCTTTCAGATATTGACGAATGTTCAAGTTCACCCTGTCGAAATCAAGCGACTTGTCATGACTTAGTCAACGGATTTAGTTGTGAATGTTCCCCAGGGTATGATGGCAGCCTTTGTTCCAATGGTATATATCTTTGTTATATTCAAAGCATGTACATTATTTTCAAACTAATAGCAATACATATAGTACGTTTCTCAAAAAATATACAATAGTATTAGCTGATACAGTGTATACATTTACATCTATCAATTGATATTAAAGAAAAGTGTGCACAACATTCAATGATCATGATAAAGTCAAAGGATTTAGAACAACCATTTGTGAAACTGGTTTTAAAATAAGTATCCCACCCACAAGTGTAGCCAGAGAGCATGTTACATCAACATTGAGAAAACTCTACTTTTTTTACCTTTTACCAGACATCGATGAATGTGCGAGTTCCCCATGTCAGAATAATGCTACATGTCTGGACAATGTAAACGGTTTCACCTGTGCCTGTGCTGCAGGGTTCAGTGGAAATGTCTGTCAACTTGGTGAGTAAATGAATTCGATTGCAACATTTGGGAAGTAGTTTCCATCAAAAACACCTTCTTAATGTCACTGCACTCACAATCTATTCTCTGTACAGGTTAGGGATTTTTGGGGAAAGTGCGAAAGTGACTTTTACTCTTTTTAGCGTCGAAGAAAATCTAGAATTCCTGTATGGAAATATGATGTTAAAACTTTTGAGGTCCGTTTCAAAAACCCGTCATTATAAATTTTGTATCTTTATTTTTTTCTATAAATGCAATTGAGTCATACAGTTTTAATGAAATGCTTTTTGAATAGAATACGAAATAGAAATTCCGTTATATATGCCATTGAAGCACACTGTATTTTCCCGAAAAGTGTCGTTTATCAATCAATTAATTTGTTTTTGTTGTCAATCAATCTACATTTTTTTCCCTAATAACCAGAACTCTGCGAAAATTGTGGATATTTAGCTTTCCAAACATTGAAGTGATGTTTTGTACCTTGTAATTAGTGCAACAAACCAACAAACTCTGAATTTCATTTGATGTTGGTCGTCCACTTTGGTCTACAGAAAAAATTTTTTCGTCTCTCAACTATTTTTGAAATCCGATTTGAGAATCAAGTTGACCATTTTACAGATATTGATGAATGCAGCAGCGCCCCCTGTCAGAATAATGCTACTTGTCTTGACCGGGTCAATGGTTTTACATGTAGTTGTCCTGCTGGATTTAATGGTGTTTTATGTGAAACTGGTGAGTTCACTTGCTAAACAAAATTAAATATTTAAGAGAAAAGAATCTTCATTTTCCTTTTTTCTCATTTTGTTATGTCAATTCAAACTTTGAAATCAATCCTCATAAAAACACTGCCTTTCAGATATTGACGAATGCTCAAGTTCACCATGTCAAAATCAAGCGACTTGTCATGACTTAGTCAACGGATTTAGTTGTGAATGTTCCCCAGGATATGATGGCAGCCTTTGTTCCAATGGTATATATATCTTTGTTATATTCAAAGCATGTACATTATATTCAAACTAATAGCACGACATATAGTACGTTTCTAAATAAATGTACAATCGTATTTACTGTTAAGTATAAATTTATCAATTGATATTTAAGAAATATGTGCATAATATTTAATTATGATGACAATGGCAAACGATAGAGAACAACCATTTGTGAAACTGGTTTCAAAATAAGTATCCCACCCACAATGGTAGTCAGAGATATGTTACATCAACATTGAGAAAACTCTTCTTTTTTTACCTTTTACCAGACATAGATGAATGTGCGAGTTCCCCATGTCAGAATAATGCTACATGTCTGGACAAAGTAAACGGTTTCACCTGTGCCTGTGCTGCAGGGTTCAGTGGAAATGTCTGTCAACTTGGTGAGTAAAACAATTCGATTGCAACATTTGGGAAGCATTTTCTATCAAAAACACCTTCTGAATGTCACTGCACTCCCAATCTATTCTCTATACAGGTTACAGATTTTTGGAAAAGTGTGCACGTGACTTTTATTCTTTTTTGCTTCGAAAAAGAATCTAGAATTCCTGTATGGAAATATGTTGTTAATTCGTTTGAGGATCCCTTTCAAAAACCGTCATTTTAATTTTTGTGTCTATATTTTGTACTATTAATGCCATTGAGCCAGACAGTTTTAATGAAATGCTATTGGAAAAGAATACGAAAAAGAAATTCCGTTATTGATGGCATTGAAGCACACTGCATTTTTACCTCACATGAGTCGAAGTTCAATTGAGCTATTCTGATAAAAAATGTGTCCGTCGTCTATCGTCGTTTTTGTCGTTGTCGTAAACTTTTCACATTTTCATCTTCTTCTCAAGAACCACTGGGCCAATTTCAACCAAACTTGCCACGAAGTATCCTTGGGTGAAGGGCATTCAAGTTTGTTCAAATGAAGGGCCAAGTCCTCTTCAAAGCGGAGATAATTATGAATAAGTGAAAAATTAATGGCATTTTTTAAAAATCTTCTTGTCAAGATCCACTGGCCAATGAAAGATGAAATTCATGTGAAATCATCCTCAGGTAGTATTAATTCAAGTTTGTTCAAATCATGACCCCCAGGGGTAGGGTGGGGCCAAAATGGCCAATCAAATTTTTATATTGGAATATATAGAACAAATCTTTAAAAATCTTCTTCTGAAGAAAACTGGGCCAGAAAAGATGAAACTGATATTAAGGAATTCACTTTTGTTCAAATCATGACCCCCGGGGGTAGGGTGGAGGCAAAATGGTCGACCACAGTTTTTTCATGTGAATACAGTCCCTGAAACGTTCTACTTTCCCATTTTTCCGTTCGCTCACCGTTCGTTCAGCGTTCGTTCACCGTTCGTTCAGCGTGCGTTCACCGTTCGCTCTTCGTTCACAGTATTGCGTTCACCGTTCACCGTGCGCTCGCGTTCACCGTTCACAAAACGTTCACCGTTCGCTCTTCGTTCCGTTTACTTTGCGTTCACCGTTCACTTATCGTTCAGTCTTCATTGTCATTCGGAACTCTGAAGTGAAAGGACTTATCTTTTTGATGGTAAGGATTTACATGTTTTTTTAATAAAATAACTTAGATATCGAGTTTGAAGAATAATTATTTCATTGCAAAAATTATGTATGATATTTATATTTCTATTATTATAACTCAGCTGATATTATTACATGAATTTTCCCTGGAAAATAATTAATAAATTAAGTACCTATATGTATGTAGAACGATGCTAAAATATTAAATTCAAAAAAGGGCAATGTACAAATGCTTCACGCACGGCATCAATTTGATGTAATTTTAAAGAAGACAAATTATTAATGGATGTATAATAATTAATCCAAGTCTTTTACAGGACAAGAATACATAAAAAAATTATTCCTACAGTAACACGTATTTCAACTACATGTAGGTTTGAGAATTATGAACAGTACTGCAAATATTCAGTTAATTAAATATCTTTAGAGCTAATTAAGTTGATGGTGTGGTTTTAAATTTTAGAAAAAAAACAACTGTTTAAAATAGTCTATTATTAGAGAAGAAAAATTCCTTCCTTCTCCGTACCTTAACATTTTTAAAAATATCTTTTTGCTATTCAGTATAATTAAGACCCCCCCCCCCCCCCGGTGCCTTTTCTCCCGAAATAAAATTCTTATTGAGATTTTTCAGTATATTTTAATTAATATTTAATTTTTATTGTAACACAAGCAAATCAGTCTTAAAACCAACATCAAACAGTCATTAAACAATAGTATTTTAGTATAAACTTGTGCCGACAGTAGTATTTTAAATTTGCAGGGAATATGTTTTACATTCAATTTAAAACTTAATCCTTCCAAGTATATATTCGAATTATTTTTTTTTTCTGCAGGAATGCAAAAATCAGATCTAGAAATGATAGGGAAAAATATTAAAATTTCTTGGAATACTAAGTGACTCCTTGCCTTCGGCATGTTCGGTGAAAAGCGATTTCCACACCTCCACAGTGTCGAATTATTTTGATTGACAGCACAAGCACGCTACTAAAAATATAGCACGGACTTCCTGTGAACTGTGTGAACTTGATGATGGAAAATAAAAGCCAATGATTACTGTCAAATGGATTTGTTAATCTTAAAAAAAAGATAACCTTTATTACCTTTATTGCTTGGAATATTTAGGAAAAATAATCAGAATTTTTATTTGATACAACATATATCTGAGAATCGAGGGGGCTATCTCTCTCTCTTACTCTCTCTCTCTCTCTCTCTCTCGAACATTTCTCTGTTCAATAAAAACTATGACAACACATTACTTATTTAGTTTTGAAAATTTAATCTACACACGTATTACAAATAATTTGAATGCCTCTTTCCAACATCTTGACCGAGTATAATCACGGCCGGGAAATGTCTACAGATACATGAAGAAGTTAGCTAAAATAATCGTCATAAAAGAATAAAAAGGCACATAAATATATAATATTTTGTAGTAGAATTTAAATAAAACGAGAATTTTTATGCAGTACGATAACAGTCAATGTCAACAGATAATTGTGATTTTTTAAAAAAAAAATCCGTTATTTTACTCAGAATCGCTTTGGCACGGAAATACATGTACGGTTGTTTCAACCCCGTACAATGTAATTAATTCATTCTATAAGTAGCAGTTTTATCTTCAGAAGTCCACATTATTTTATTAGTGAAAAGAATAAGCATAATTATTTACTATGTAAGTAGATTAATTTATTCTTTAAGTACACGCGGTAACAAATACACGTTTGACGTCGATTAAAACCATGTCATTAGAATATCGATTTAAACATTTTTATGTGCAGAAAAAAAAGAATTAATTAATTAATTTATTCATTTATTTATTAATAATTTATATATTTATTTACTTATTTATTTATTTATTTATCTATTGTTTATCTCAGTAGTAGTTTTATCTTCTAAAGTCCACATTATTTTATTAGTTAAAAGAATAAGCATAATTATTTACTCTATAAGATTAATTTATTTTTTAACTACACGCGGAAACAAATACACGTTTGACGGCGATTAAAATCATGTTATTAAAATATCGATTTAAACATACGTATGTGTAGAAATTTTTTTATTATTTATTTATTTATTCATATATTTATTTCTCTTTTGTTTATCTATTGTGTATTTATATTTATTTTTGACATTTGAATGATAGAATAAAAGAATAATTTCAATACAAGGAAAAGACTGAAGGCATTCCGAATACATCGTTCATCTTGCGTTCACCGTTCGTTCACCGTTCACATTGCGCTCGCGTTTGCGCTCAGTTCGCGTTCTGCGTTCACTCACCGTTCACCGTTCACACATCGTTCACCAAGTTGCGTTTACCGTTCGCACATCGTTCACTCACCGTTCGCTCTGCGTTCGTTCAGCGTTCGTTCACCGTTCAGGTGGGAAAGTAGAACGTTTCAGGGACTGTATAAAGGGAACACTTTTAAAATCTTCTTTTCAAGTATTTCAAAGCCATGATTAGTAATTAATAATAGTGTACTTATATGGAATCATAATGGTAGTGTAAATTCTAGTTCGTTTAAATCATGATTCCCCCGTGGGGGGGTTGGTAAAATTCAAGTCATCCTCCCAATCTCAGTAAACTTTCAATTCTTATCTGATACGTGCTTTTTCCAAGCTTATGTGCTCAGGTGAGCGTTGTGGCCCCTGGGCCTCTTGTCCTGAAAGGCGTCGTTTATCAATCAATCAATTTGTTAATTTTGTTTTGAAAATAGCGATTATTGAATATGATGTACTCAACTGTCTATGCACATTCATTTTTCCCTTATAGCCAGAACTCTATAAAAATTGTTGATAAAAAGTGCTCCAGATATTGAAGTCATGATCTGTACCTTGTAATAAGTGCAAGAAAGCAACAAACTTTGAATTTCATTTGATGATGGTTTTCGACTTTAGTCTACAGAATATTTGCTTTCGTCTCCCATCTAATATTTAAATACGACTTGAAAATCAAGATGACCATTTTACAGATATTGATGAATGCAGCAGCGCCCCCTGCCAGAATAACGCTACTTGTGTTGACCGGGTCAATGGTTTTACATGTAGTTGTCCAGCTGGATTTAATGGAGTTATATGTGAAACTGGTGAGTTCACCCGCTGAACAAAAAGAAATACTGATGAGGAAGGATCATTCTTCTTTATCCTTTTTTCTCTGATCGTGTTTTGTAAATTCAAACTTTGAAATCAATCTTCATAAAAACACTGCCTTTTAGATATTGACGAATGCTCAAGTTCACCCTGTAAAAATCAAGCGACTTGTCATGACTTAGTCAACGGATTTAGTTGTGAATGTTCCCCAGGGTATGATGGCAGCCTTTGTTCCAATGGTATACATCTTTGTTATATTCAAAGCATGTTCATTATATTCAAGCTAATTGCAAGACATATAGTACGTTTCTCACAAATATACAATCGTATTAGCTGATATAGTGTATACATTTACATATTTCAATTAATTTTCAAAACAAAAGTGAAATAACCTATTCCCAAGATAGAATCCAAATATTTTGAAAACTTTTCGTGAAATTGTAGTATAAATAAGTATCCCATCCACAAGTGTAGACAGAGAGCATCTTAAATCAATATTGAGAAAAAAACTTCTTTTCGTCTTTTACATCTTATCAGACATCGATGAATGTGCGAGTTCCCCATGTCAGAATAACGCTACATGTCTGGACAATGTAAATGGCTTCACCTGTGCCTGTGCTGCAGGGTTCAGTGGAAATGTCTGTCAACTTGGTGAGTAAAACAATTCGATTTCAACATTTGGGAAGAAGTTTCCATCAAACACACCTTTATGTCACTGCACTCAAGATCTGTTCTTTATACAGATTAGGTATTTTTGGGGAAAGTGCCAAAGTGACTTTTACTCTTTTTAGCGTCGAAGAAAATCTAGAATTACTGTATGGAAATATGATGATAAAACTTTTGAGGTCCCTTTCAAAAACCCGTCATTATAAATTTTGTATCTTTATTTTTTTCTATAAATGCAATTGAGTCATACAGTTTTAATGAAATATTTTTTGAATAAAATACGAAAAAGAAAGTCCGATATATATGCCATTGGATCGCACTGCATATTCCTGAAAGACGTCGTTTGTCAATCAATTAATTTTTTCCCTACTAACCAGAACGCTATGAAAATTGTGAATGAATAGTTTTCCAAATATTGAAGTGATGTTTTGTACATAGTAATAAGTGCAACAAAGCAACAAACTTTGATTTTCAATTGGTGATGGTCGTCCACTTTTGTCTACAGAGAATTTCTTTTCATCTCCAACTAATAACTGAAAACCGATTTGAAAATCAATTGACCATTTTACAGATATTGATGAATGCATCAGCGCCCCCTGTCAGAGTAATGCTACTTGTCTTGACCGGGTCAATGGTTTTACCTGTAGTTGTCCTGCTGGATTAAATGGTGTTTTGTGTGAAAATGGTGAGTTCACTTCCTAAACAAAATTAAATATTTAAGAGACAAGATTCTTCTTCATTTTCCTTTTTTCTCTCTGTCGTCGTTTTTGTCGTTGTCGTAAACTTTTCACATTTTCATCTTCTTCTCAAGAACCACCGGGCCAATTTCAACCAAACTTGCCACGAAGTATCCTTGGATGAAGGGCATTCAAGTTTGCTCAAATGAAGGGCCAAGTCCTCTTCAAAGGGGAGATAATTATGAATAAGTGAAAAATTAATGGCATTTTTTAAAAATCTTCTTCTCAAGAGCCACTGGCCAATGAAAGATGAAATTCATGTGATATCATCCTCAGGTAGTATTAATTCAAGTTTGTTCAAATCATGACTCCCAGGGGTAGGGTGGGGCCAAAATGGCCAATCAAAATTTTATATTGGAATATATAGAACAAATCTTTAAAAATCTTCTTCTGAAGAACAACTGGGCCAGAAAAGATGAAACTGATATTAAGGAGTTCACTTTTGTTCAAATCATGACCCCTGGGGGTAGGGTGGAGGCAAAATGGTCGACCACAGTTTTTTCATGTGAATATAAAGGGAACATTTTTAAAATCTTCTTTTCAAGTATTTCAAAGCCATGATTAGTAATTAATAATAGTGTACTTATATGGAATCATAATGGTAGAGTAGATTCTAGTTCGTTCAAATCATGATTCCCCGGTGGGGGAGGGGGTAAAATTCAAGCCATCCTCCCAATCTCAGTAAACTTTCAATTCTTATCTGATACGTGCTTTTTCCAAGCTTATGTGCTCAGGTGAGCGTTGTGGCCCCTGGGCCTCTTGTCCTGAAAGGCGTCGTTTATCAATCAATCAATTTGTTAATTTTGTTTGGAAAATAACGATTATTGAATATGATATACTCAACTGTCTGTGCACATTCATTTTTCCCTTATAACCAGAACTCTAAGAAAATTGTTGATAAGAAGTGCTCCAGATATTGAAGTCATGGTCTGTACCTTGTAATAAGTGCAAGAAAGCAACAAACTTTGAATTTCATTTGATGATGGTTTTCGACTTTAGTCTACAGAAAATTTGCTTTCGTCTCCCATCTAATATTTAAATACGACTTGAAAATCAAGATGACCATTTTACAGATATTGATGAATGCAGCAGCGCCCCCTGCCAGAATAACGCTACTTGTGTTGACCGAGTCAATGGTTTTACATGTAGTTGTCCAGCTGGATTTAATGGAGATATATGTGAAACTGGTGAGTTCACCCGCTGAACAAAAAGAAATACTGATGAGGAAGGATCATTCTTCTTTATCCTTTTTTCTCTTCTTGTTATGTAAATTCAAACTTTGAAATCAATCTTCATAAAAACACTGCCTTTCAGATATAGACGAGTGTTCAAGTTCACCCTGTCGAAACCAAGCGACTTGTCATGACTTAGTCAACGGATTTAGTTGTGAATGTTCCCCAGGGTATGATGGCAGCCTTTGTTCCAATGGTATATATCTTTGTTATACTCAAAGCATGTACATTATATTCAAGCTAATTGCAAGACATATAGTACGTTTCTCACAAATATACAATCGTATTAGCTGATACAGTGTATACATTTACATGTATCTATTAATTTTCAAAACAAAAGTGAAATAACCGATTCCCAAGATAGAATCCAAATATTTTGAAAACTTTTCGTGAAACTGTAGTTAAAATAAGTATCCCATCCACAAGTGTAGACAGAGAGCATCTTAAATCAATATTGAGAAAAAAACTTCTTTTTTTTTACATTTTATCAGACATCGATGAATGTGCGAGTTCCCCATGTCAGAATAACGCTACATGTCTGGACAATGTAAATGGCTTCACCTGTGCCTGTGCTGCAGGGTTCAGTGGAAATGTCTGTCAACTTGGTGAGTAAAACAATTCGATTTCAACATTTGGGAAGAAGTTTCCATCAAACACACCTTTATGTCACTGCACTCAAGATCTGTTCTTTATACAGATTAGGTATTTTTGGGGAAAGTGCCAAAGTGATTTTTACTCTTTTTAGCGTCGAAGAAATCTAGAATTCCTGTATGGAAATATGATGTTAAAACTTTTGACGATCCCTTTCAAAAACCCGTCATTTTAAATTTTGTATCTATATTTTTTTCTTTAAATGCCATTGAGTCATACAGTTTTCATGAAATATTTTTTGAATAAAATACGAAATAGATATTCCGATATATATGTCATTGGAATAAACGGCATATTCCTGAAAGACGTCGTTTTATCAATCAATTAATTTGCAAGTTTTGTTTGAAATATATCGATTATTGAATATGATGTACTCAACTCTCTTTGCACATTTAATCTTTCCCTTACTAACCAGAACGCTATGAAAATTGTGAATGATAAGTTTTCCAAATATTGAAGTGATGTTTTGTAAATAGTGATAAGTGCAACAAAGCAATAAGCTTTGATTTTCAATTGGTGATTGTCGTCCACTTTAGTCTCCGGAAAATTTGTTTTCGTCTCCAACTAATATTGAAAATCAATTGACCATTTTACAGACATTGATGAATGCATCAGCACCCCCTGTCAGAATAATGCTACTTGTCTTGACCGGGTCAATGGTTTTACCTGTAGCTGTCCTGCTGGATTTAATGGTGTTTTATGTGAAACTGGTGAGTTCACTTGCTAAACAAAATGAAATGCTTAAGAGAAAAGATTCTTCTTCATTTTCCTTTTTTCTCATTTTGTTATGTCAATTCAAACTTTGAAATCTATTCTCATAAAAATACTGCCTTTCAGATATTGATGAGTGTTCAAGTTCACCTTGTCAAAATGAAGCTACTTGTTATGATTTAGTCAACGGATTTAGTTGTGAATGTTCCCCAGGGTATTATGGCAGCCTTTGTTCCAATGGTATATATCTTTCTTATATTCAAAGTATATAAATATTATTCCAATTGATAGGAATAGAAAGTTTATGTTCTAATGGTACGCACTTCTATATATATATATTTGATACAAATATTACAATAAAACAGATTATCTTTTTGTGCTTTGTGTATCAATCACTCGGAGAAGAATTTTGAAACATACATCAAATAAATAAAAAAAATTACGAAATAATGTTTTTGTCGTGAAGAAGCACGTATCAGAACATACGAGGGGTTATCAAAAAGTCCCTCGACTAGCGCTATAAGATTAAAGCCGCTTTAGTTACATCAGTGAATTTTGAAATGTCTATTCAGCATCATCTTTTCTCTCCATAGAATAAACTACAAATAATGAATTTTTTTTAATAAATAAGTTATGTCTTTGCAAGCAATTGTAGGTCCAGGCGGCACAACTTCGAACATGATTTTTTTTCGATCTAGGTGTAACCGATAAAAACTCTTTTGATATGAACATTTGACATTTAAGCCCAATTAATTTAGATATGTGTTTGGGTACTTTTGTTCCATAAAATATGAGATTTTTACCTCATTCTGGAGGTTCTATAAAATGTTATCATATTTCTTATAAGGAGTGTCCAAACAAATAAGGCTTTGAAAATGAAAAAAAAATCAAAAAAGAGGACGGCTTTCCTTTTCCATCATTATATAAGGTTAGTGTAGACCTTGGAAGTGTTTAAACTGAGAAATCAAATTCATCAAGTGTACTTGTTTTTTGATGCCAAAAGAAATTGAGAAAGAAAAAGGATACATAGTTTATGTCGATTTGTAGTTAAGATGTAAAAAATTCACGTCAAAAATGACGTTGATCATGTGCTGTAGATAGATAATATTAAACTCCAAAAAAAAAATATGCTGGTACAATCAAGCAATGTATAAATCCATCTGCAATATTATATTCATTGAAAGCCGCTGCTCGTGACACTGTAATGTCATATAAACAAGACGGGTTTAAGTCCTTAATTAGCTCGAGGTAATCTCATCAAAATAGGTTTATTGGGTAGAAGAAACGACATTGCAATGAATTGTCGGACGTCATGAAACTAAGCGGCGACGGAGCCGAGTGATCATATAATGTCGATTTCACTTCAGAATAATTTTGCAAATAATGAACGTATCAAGCTAAAATTGTCAACATTTCTTCATTTTTTTTTTCTATGTATGTTAGAACTTTCAGAAGTGCAAACTTAATAGTACGAATTTTATAGCCTCAGTCCACGGAAGTTTTGATAACCCTTCCTATTGTCGATTATTCAAAGCACAAACATGATAATTTATTGTTAGCATTATCTTAAAGTTGAATTTTTTTTAATTTTTGAATTTGAAAAAGCTCCTATCAGAAAATTCCGACGATTATACAAAGCACAACCATGATAATTTACTGCAGGCATTATCTTAAAGTATAATTTTTTTTATATTGAATTTCAAGTAACTTCAGATGGGAGAGCTTCTGCAAGCAAATCTTGTGATGACTGTGGCGCACTTTATGATTGTTCCTCATCTTCTGCTGATGACCCATGTGAACTTAGCATATGGAAGGTGCTTTTGATAGGCCTTGCCGGTTTAATCGGTTGTCTTACGATGACTTTTACTCTGACACGTCGTTACATCCGCAAATATAAAAGGTGGGCAAATCGTCCAAAATCGATTGGTCTGCATATACGTGAATGTATTGAAATATTGTTCAATAATACATATAAAAGTAATGTTTTGCTGTGGGTGTGTGATTAATACGTCATTAAGGTTTTTTTTTTTTTACCTCTTTTAGGGTCTCACCATCCAATGAGGAAGGACCCGGTGTTCACCTTATTTTTACATTATATCCACCGCGGACTCTTGGTCCAAAGAAACCAGTTTTTACTGGTTTTAACTAAAATGTTTTTATTATTCTTAAGATATACTGGACGTCTTTCTTACTCAAAAGAATAGTTTTAAGAGAACAGACAAACTACGTTAGAACTTCGATCGGCTTTATTTGTGCCCCTGAATTGATTATCTATTCTCAAATTTCTATGGAAGGACAAAAAGAAGAAAACACTTGTTGCGGCCATTCGACTTTCTGATATATTGACGACGTATTATCCGTAACAAATTATAATGTCCAATATAAAGTCAACTTGATACATCCCAGTGAACCTGAAATAAAAGAAATCATAAATTATGTCACATTTGTTTTATTCGTGGATATTTACCGACAAGAAACTCTTGGACAACAAACAAACAATTGGCATGTAAATATTGATATGACGATAGTACCATCAGTTTTAGGACCAAGACAGGCTACTGAAAAATAAGCTGAAGTTACAGAGTGGATTCCAAACCAATTTTAAGACACTTCCTTCTATAACGAAAATTACTTCGGATTATTCCGTGCACCTAGTCAATACATTGAACTCCCTGCGTGTGTGATTGATTGTGGAGAATTTTTTCCTTTCTTCGGCAACCGATCCTGGCTCCGAAATATCAATGGTCTGTCTCAGACTGTTTGTGATTGTTTGTATTTAATAATTATATTTATTTAGGTCCAAGTTAATTATGTTATGATCAGTTATGATAAGTTTAGTACATGATAAAGAAAGTTGACAGTGTAAATGCCATATATATAAGAGAGAGAGAGAGAGAGAGAGAGAGAGAGAGAGAGAGAGAGAGAGAGAGAGAGTATGAATTGACAATAAAGCATCTAAAATGTCTTTTTTACGATTTTTTTTAATTAAGGCTCTGTCTGTTAATGAAAAGTCCATGATACTGATCAGTTATTCATAGAAACTCAGATTATCGTGAGATATATATAATAAACAATTTTTGAACAGCAATGATGTCCTAACTTTAAGCTGATGGATACATTGTGTTACAAGGAATGTAATAAATAACAAATAATATCGATCTATACTTGTTTGTTAATTATTCTTTTAAATACTTTGATCTTCAAAATGATGTTTATTTATGTTAATGACATAAAGCCTTTGTATGTGGTAAGATTTGAGAATTTCCGACGTAAAAGATATCTCGACTTGTGTACACATCATAGGCCTTATTTTTGGTGAGAGTTACATAATTATCAGAAATCCGTGGTTAACATTGCATTTGAAGATTATTGGGCATCGCCATATGAGTGAAAAATTCTCGAGATTGGCGTTAAACAACATAAAATTAATCAATCTAGTTTACTGGAGTCATTGAATTTTAAGTTGTAAAAACGTGCTTTTGATTTTAAACTTCTACTGAAAACAGAACTTCTGATACATGTAGTTCGCTTTTTGAGAGCTGTCCATCATATTTTCTAATTTTTTAAACTTCAATTTTCGAAAGTCTAATGTTTAAACAATATTTTTGATAAGCTAAAGAATCCGATTTAAACTCATAACTTGTTCTATTTGTCAAATCATTATACCCATTGTTTGTTTTATAGATAAAAATTGATATATAAACGTTCTAACCAGGCTATCAGGACATTGTACAAACATATTAGGCTGTTCTTTGCCAGCTCAAGGTAGTACATTAGATTTTGAAAATTCAATGGACTTTTTAGCTTGAATACTGTTTGTGATTGGTCATTCTAAATGTTTCTTGATTTTCATAACTATGTTTTTTTTTAAGGCTAAACCTTTGTCCTTGACTTTTTGCATAACTGTGTGTATTGTGTTAGAATGTGCACATTTTGAAATGAAAAGTCATTGTTTTGAGGAGTTGCTTCGTTTTAAAAAAAACGTTGACATACTTAAGAGTTATGGATTAAAGTTCGAAAGATTTTTTAATACTAAGTCTAAATGTCATAATCTTACAGTTTGATTTATCATTAGATATTTATTAGTGCTGTGTAATGATTCATGATTGTATGAAAAAACTTTTTATTTATACTTCTCCCCAACATGGATGTGCGTAACTTAGATATAAAAACAAATCAATTGAGATCCAGATCTGAATCAAATTGCTTTAAAAAATTTATAAAATGTATAAAGTTTAAGAGAACCTTATTTTGATTTGAAACAAAAGTTTCAAATGAGAATGATTTTTTTTTTTCTGATCTTCACATCTATTGTTATACACACTAATTGACATTATCATACACGTGCGCGTGCCATATAGATCAGGCTTCAGCACGTGAAGCTTAAAGTCACTTTTGTCTACATATTTGTTGCATTTGTCTTTCAATCAAATACATTTATGATGACATTTTTATTGTTTACTTTTCTTCGATTATATTTAAACATTCATCACTGACATTTAGAGCATTTAGGATCCAACAAATGTTAAAATGTATTACATTGTACATACATTTTCGACTGTCTGGTTATACTGTCCTTAGAGTCTGTCTTGTGAAAATACGTCAAAATGTCAAGAAATATTTTGCAGCCGATTTGATGATTGCATTAATTTAACATGTATTGATTTTTTGATCTGCAGAAAAAATGCACTTACTACACATCTTTTTTTTTTTCAAAGGGTTGCATTTTTATTATCCAAAACATTTTTTTCTACATTTCATTCCTCATTTCATAAAAGTTTTGTAATTAAAATATTTTTTATCAACCATTATTTTTTTCTCATGCAGGTATAAGGGCCCGATAAGGTAACCACCATCAAATAAAGAAGGTTCAGGACTCAACAAATTAACCTTCAGATACAACTTATTATGTTGGATACGATATCTTAATATGTGATTAATTTTGGCTCATAAAAATGTCAACATTTAAAAATTTTATGTCTTTTTTGAGCTCCTATTCTAATGGAGATCAATATAGTTTAAAAACGGACACAATATCTGTCTAGTGGACTGTACCCTGGAACTAACTGAGATTTATGCTCGAAGTTTTGTATCACAAGCTATGAGTGAAAGAGAGGTTTATATCTATTGTGATGCCTGTGAGATGTCTATAGTAGGAGAGCAGGAAAGACCACTACTTCGGAACATTATTTTGAAGTATGATTATAATCCACAATATTCGCCATTCTACCACGAGGAATTTCATAAAACATTCAAAATAAAATTACAGACCAGGACCATTGAGCATCTCCACATTCAGATCAAAGACAAACATAATAAGTTTGCCCAATTTCTTCCATATGCCGAAGTGATTGTCACGCTTATGCTCCAAGGTTCATTCTCCTGGATTTGATGTGTCTATGTATAAACTTATCAACTTTTATGCATCAAAACCAGATTCAAATGATTTTTAGAGAAATCTCTGGCTCTAAAAAAGGAAAACTGCTCAATTAAGATTTACTTGTACCGTTGTTGATTGCATATTTATTTAAAATGAAATGGTGATCTTATTATCAGTTCATTAATTATGACATAATTATTAAACATCAAATTTCCTTATTCTGAAATTTTATTTTAAAATGGCGTTATGCAATTACTAGCACACAATAAAAAAGAACAGTTAGTCTAAACTATAGAATATTTAATTTATTTGTTGATCGATATATTGACTGCATGATTGATTAATAAATTTTCAAATATACCTGCATAGTGTTGTCTGGCCTCAATACAATTTTTGATACATGCATGTAAAAGTAAGCAGTAATTGACCTTCGTATGGGTGTGGGTACAATTTATAGTACAAGATACATAATGTTAACTGACCCCGAGAAGCATTTCAAAATAATTATGTAAATGTGAATTTCAAATATTAATCAAGATTATTTTTTTCATAGAAACGTAAACAGTTATATCGGGTATATACTGTATATGTTATATGTAAATGATATTTGATTTACAAGAACAATGAAACTGATCATGAATTCAAGGAGCAAGGAGCTGATATTAATGGACCGTATCACAACATTTGTTGTTTTCCCCAAAACTCTGTTTAACGTAAAAGAAAAAGGACGAATTCTCCACCATAGGATCGACGTCAACACATGATCTTACAGCATATTTACCACTAATGTGAAACAGATTGCGTTGCTGGTAACCCCCCCCCCCTCGATCGGCCAGACAAGCTCGCAATCATCGTGAAATAGTTTTAAACAGACTTCCCATGTCATTTAAGGTGAGGTTATTTCATTCCTGTTTGCAATGCTGCAGCAAGTTTCGGGAAGCATGTTGTTGACCTTGGTGTAGCCGCTATATATCCAGGCATGTCCAAGACACGATGTAGAAAAGGTCCGGACTGTTTGCGAGTCATTGTAATGTGTTGATGTTCTCCTTTGGAAGATAATCTGTAACGATTCTGGCCCTATGAGATTTGCTATTGTTATCTTGAAAAATTGAAACGTCGGCCATAGCAAGGGGTGCCAATTGCTAGATGTTGTCTTGGTTTATTTGTTTTTTTTGCTCTGCAAAATGAAAACTGTTGTCCGCTAATTTTATGAACAACCCTCATATAACCAAATTTTTTTTAAACAGAAACAACCTAAAACACGTTAGATACATTGATTTGTTTCAAAGATTTAAATGTACTTAAATTCGACATTGGAAATTTGAAATATTGCGTTGAAAATGGAACTTTTTTGAAAAATAGTGCATAGATACAGGATTACAAATGTAGCTATTTTATCCATAGGAAACAATTTCTAAAAAGAAAATTTTTAGGCAATACCAAATTCTATCATATGGTTTAATCTTTAACTTCCGATATCTCTCTAAACTACTTACTGTCGTTTCCCCTCGATAAGGAAACAAACAATTAGATAACTTCTCACAATATCGTTAAATGATACTCACGGAAATTAGTCAAGAAAAAGGATAAAAAAAAAAACAACAAAAATTTAACAGACAAATGAAGTGTATATCACCGTGAAATATAATTTTTGAGCTCTTGGTGGGAATTTAATGTCGATTCTGTCTTCAGTTTCATGTTTTCGACAACTTCAACTACATGTATATATATAGTTGTTTTAATAATTGGAACAAAATATGTCTCTTCCACCTGCTACAGGTATTTTAAACACTTGATTTATATAAAAAGTTGATTAAGCTCAGCTAAATGTATTTAAAATTGATACCTTTGATACCTTTTTTATATATTACGTATGTTTATCATCTTATGAAAGCAAAATTTACAATACTTTTAGGGCAAATGGAGGACCATGCTGTGATGGATACATTTGGGATGAAAATCTAAAAGATTGTAAAAGTAAACCACAAAAAAAAAATATTTTTTATTATTTGTCATGAAGAATAAAATCTTTTTAATAGATGTTAATGTCTATGCGAATTATAGTAACGCGATAAGGCTAATTATAATAATAATAATTAGACTAATTATAGTAAAGCTCGGGAGATCACCAGATCAAATAAAATGATGAGCCACGCCTTGTCTACAAGGCTTTAACGGTTTCATTTAGTCAGACTTCCTCATTTAAAAATGCGATAAAACTAACTTTCTATTTTAAATTAAGTAATAATACTTTTTCCCCTCTGTTTGTTTTAGGCTATGACCTCAAAATTTTACTTACCCTGTGCTTGTTATATGTTCTTTTACTACTTTAACTAGATAAAAAAAAATTGTTCCGCACATATGTATAAATATGCAATAAATAAGCTAAAAGTTCTTTTTCAACAAAATCTCTAGGGTGTCCCGTTGGGTACATTGGGAATAACTGCGCGGGCGTCTGCAGAGCTCCTGGATATGGAATTGATTGTCAAAAACATTGTGATTGTGACAGAAAATACTGTGACCCTGGAAACGGTTGCATTGATCGATCTGGTGCGTAAAATAAAACAGTTGGTGTTAGAAAAAAGCAAAATGTGTAACAATATTTCATACTTCTGATTATTGATTTAAATTTTCAAAATATCAATAAAATTAAACATTGCTTTTCTTATTTATAACAAGATGATTTCGTATGAAGATATAAATGAATTGAAACTAAAGTCCCTATGGAGTCAATTATTGTTATACTTCTTCACACAAGTGTTACTTTAACAAAATATTTTTGGATTTCCTTCCTCACTCAATTATAATAAATTGAAATTTAACGATAATGAGATACATTTTATATAATATAACTTAAAGAGGAAAAATTTTTATGATTTCATATTTATTTTATTTGTTAAAAAACTTTGTCTATGATGATTACCAGTTTACCTCAATTAGAGGAAGGTACAAATATGTTACTGAAAGGAAAGAAAATTATTATCAATGTCATTAAGTTCGATTGCAGGAAAAAAAAACATCGGTAGACTGTTCTTTTCGCGTTTGTCCTTGGGGTCATTTGATTTAGTTCACCACTTTATCATCCAGTTTTTTGATATTTTGGATTGTTGATATGTGAACCCGAAAAAAAAGGAGAAAAAACGCTTAACTTTTACGTCTTAATTTCTTAATGTCCGAGGAATAAATGACCGAACAATGCAAGAAGCGTCCCCTAAGCTGAATGTGTATTAATTTTGCAAACAAAACGTAAAAAGCAAATCTGTTTAAAATCGGAATAAAAAAAATTGACTTTACTTTTTTTATGAAAAATAAAAGATAAAGGTCTAATTAAATTATAATCTTAGTTCCCATGTGTCATAGTGTGTTTTTCTCAATGTTGTCGATATTGCCGTTTTTTTAAACTTGGGGATTCAAGTTTGTTTAAATGAAGGGCTTCGCCTTATTCCGTGGGAAGCTAATTCATGAAAATTTTATGACTTCTTTTAGCATACATTCAAATTTTTTCTAATCATTGGGATTAGGGTGGAGCCACAGTGGGCAATCATTTTACATAGAAATACACAGGAGAAATCTTTAAATATCTTCTTCCAAAGAACAGCAAACTTAGGTAAAAGTTAATTGTGTCTGTATAGAAGTATTCTCAGGTATAGAAGATTTAAATTTGTTCAATTCATGACGCCCGGGGTAGGCTGGGAGCACAGAAGGAGATCAAAGTTTTAAGGGCTTTATGGAAGTTTTGATCATGTGCCAACCCGTTTTACATACCAATAAGACTCAACAAATGATTCCTTATTGCTTATATTTACATTTGTGACTTTTCATTCTTTAAATTTGCCTGATTGTGACTTTTAACGTGTGAAATGCATTATTTTTCAAACCCAACGGCATATATGTAATCCACTGAGCGCGCGTCGACCCATTATGACGTCACTGAGAAATTACGTCGAACGTTTATTTATACGAACATCCTTGACCTCTTGACCCCATACCTGTATTTATACAATTATAAAAACGCTTGCTTTCAGTGGTGTTATATAAAGGAAAACATTTGCAAATGTCAATATATATGAAAAAATAGGGAACATCTTCATAATTCTTCTTCTCAAGAACAGCAAGGCCTTGATAGGTCAAATTTATATGAAAGCATCTTCGTGTACTGTACATTATGTGTTTTTTTTCTAATAATTACTCCCCCGGAGGTAGAGTGGGGCTACAGTGGATGAACAAAGTTTTGAAAAGGATTGAAAAAACTTTAAAAATCTTAGTCTCAAGAACAGCATAGCCTTCATTGTTCTTGATTCACATGACCCCAAAAAGTATAGAGGAGCTATAACAGGGGGTAATAGTCATACAAGGAAATATAAAGGATAATCAATAAATAATCTTAAGAGTCGGTCCGCGAGAAAACCATGCAGAACTGTCCAAATCGAAGGTTGTCATATCTTAATGAAATTTGGTGGGTAGTTAGACTTTATAATATGTTATTAAAAAATGACCAAAAAATTTCCCATCATTCAACATGGCAGCCGTAGGCAGCGCCACCTTCTTTTTGCACATTTAAGTGCAAATGCACTTTAAAAATTCAAGAAAAATGGTAAAATTCACATTTGATTTATTTTACTCAAAATTAAACATGCATTTCCATTAAGGTATTTTTAAGTATTTTCAAAATTGACATTTATCATAATCAAATATGCAATATATCAAAGGGCAGACAACTCTTGAAAATTGGCATAATGCCAATTTTCAAGAATTGCCAAAAGTATTACAAATTTAATGCCCACAATCTTCCAAGACCAATCTTTGAAATTAATTTTTTTATTTTATTGTATAAATATAACTCTAAACATTATCTTTGCAAAATATTGAGCTTGGGAAATAATAAATAATTGAGATATGGGGATTTACAAATTACCAATTTTCGAAAAAAATTGCTCAAACTCAAATGGGTTACAAAGTCAAATATAGTACTTTAAATTATAAACAATTGTTGTTAGATGTTGAAACATGTAACAGTTTTCTTTGAAATAATAATTAAGATTGAAAAATATTAAAATTAAAAATTAAATAAAACTAAATTGTCAGAAATTACCCCCAATATGAGGATTAGCATTTTGACAATTGTTTAGAAATGAAAAAAAAACATAATAAATTGTATTGGCTTACTTGCAATTTTTCAACAATCATATGAATATATATGTTCCTTACATTTTGTAAGTTAGTTTCTTTTTAATTCATAAAAGGGAAATTACAAGTATTTAAATTCAAACGGACTCAGTATCATTCTTATAAATTTTGAGATTTGAACATATAAAATTTGAGTCTTCAGTAAGTTGTTTGCTAGCTGCAGAACTGTGGCTCTCCGAAAAAATATATATTGATAGACCGGAGAGCTACAGTGCCACTCATTGAGAAAATGTATATATACAAAAAAATGCGCTCGGTTCTGGATTAATCCTTCTAAATTCTTACCTCAATTGCAAAAAAGCTAGATTCCAATAAAGATCTTACTCCTTTATCAATTAACGGCGTGGTTTACATCTGTACGAAGTGCGTTGGATCGAATTATCTTGCAAACCAAAATGGCAGTATAAATAGGCGAAATTTTAGATGATCTCAATTCCAGGTCCAGGAGGGCTTTTAGAAACAATTATAAGGAATGTTTTTTGTGGAAACGGTGAAAGAATATGTTAGGAACACACGGTTGGTAAAATTTTTAGATGACAGTTTTTAAGAAGTATATGGAGATAACGAACAGTATTCAATCTTTCAAGTCCATAAAACCATACAAAATAAGAGCAGAGCAAATACGGACCCCTGAAACATCAGAGATGGGATCAGGTGCCATGGAGGAGTGAGCATCCCCTGCCGACCGGTCACACCCGCCGTGTGTTCCTTGTCACGATCAGGAAATAACGGAAAAAATCCGCCCTCAATTCAGTGTATAAATAATGGACTAACAATTCGTATGAAAAAAGTCAGTCAGCATTTGACCCAGCTGTGATAAATTGTATTTGCTGACAAGGTCATTGTATCGACCATAGAACTTTCGAAATGATGACTTTAAACGAAACTGCTGATTTTCTTGTTTCATCAACTTGCTTGCTCATCAACACGGAGAAATAAATCGAGAAACAGCGCACTTTTTTGTGCGCAATAAATATATAGTTTTTTCAATGGGTGGCACTGTAGCTCTCCGGTCTATTATTATATATTTTTTTCGGAGAGCTACAGCTCTGCAGCTAGTTGTTTGCTTTCTGCCAATTGTAAATTGATATGTACAATCTTATAAAAATACCGACAGGGGATAATATACAAAAAAACTCCATAAATGAGTTTAAGAAAATGAAAGATGCTGGAGTTTACTCGTATCCCACCTCCCGAATCAAATAATTGTCTTCTTTTTTCGCTTGGGAAATGGCTACATATAACATTTTAAAAAAAAATTATCTCTGTCTGCAATGGCACGTGTATTAATAATACCATCATGGTTATTCAGAAAAAAGTATCAAATATTAATTTACAAAGCCTTATACAATTTTATTAATAATGTTCTGAAAATAATTTTGACAAAATTTCATAGCCCCCCCCCCCCTCAATTTGAATAAATATGAATCCAGTCTTTTATCATGTTTATAGCCGGTTTTAAATTTTTACCACTTTGTAAAGCAAACTAGCAAAGTCTTGGCTGCAGTAACGACTCATGTTTTCTTTGGTTGGGGGGGGGGGGGGCGATTGTAGCCTCCCCCAAATAATTTTGCCAATATTTATCGTGAAGGGTCCTATATCGGTGGGGTACCTAAATCGGTGGCATCTCCTTTTGAGCTGATAATTTTTAATGGGAAATAGTACTTTATCAATATATGAATGTTACGTAACACAGTAGTTTAAAGTATGTAATGTAAAATTAAAAATATGCCTAGGAATGACGGTGTTTGGTTAACTCAACAAGAGGCCCAAGGGCCACAGCGCTCACCTGAGCACATCGGGCTTGAATTTACTCCCCCCCCCCCCCCTCCAGGCGTTCATCATTTGAACAAACTAGAATCTACACTACCTGAGGATGATTCCATATAAATATCACTAATTATAACTTTGAAGTACTTGAAAAGAAGATTTTAAAAGGTTTCCCTATATATCCCTATGTAAAACTTGGGTCGGCCATTTTGGCCCCACCCTAGCCACGGGGGTCATGATTTGAACAAACTTGAATCTACACTACCTGAGGATGATTCCACATGAGTTTCATCTTTCCTGGCCCAGTGGTTCTTCAGAAGCAAATTTAAAGATATTTCCTATATATTCCTATGTAAAACTTGGGTCGGCCATTTTGGCCCCACCCTTGCCCCGGGGGTCATGATTTGAACAAACTTGAATCTACACTACCTGAGGATGATTCCACATGAGTTTCATCTTTCCTGGCCCAGTGGTTCTGGAGAAGAAGATTTTTAAAAATTTTTCCTATATATTCCTATTAATACTTGGGTCGGCCATTTTGGCCCCACCCTTGCCCACGGGGGTCATGATTTGAACAAACTTGAATCTACACTACCTGAGGATGATTCCACATGAGTTTCATCTTTCCTGGCCCAGTGGTTCTGGAGAAGAAGATTTTTAAAGATTTTTCTTGTATATTCCTATGTAAAACTTGGGTAGGCCATTTTGGCCCCACCCTTTCCCCGGGGGTCATGATTTGAACAAACTTGAATCTACACTACCTGAGGATGATTCCACATGAGTTTCATCTTTCCTGGCCCAGTGGTTCTGGAGAAGAAGATTTTTTAAAAATGCCATTAATTTTTAACAAATTTATGATTATCTCCCCTTGGAAAAGGGCGTGGCTCTTCATTTGAACAAACTTGAATCCCCTTCACCCAAGGATACTTTGTGTTAAGTTTGGTTGAAATCGGCCCAGTGGTTCTTGAGAAGAAGATGAAAATGTGAAAAGTTTACGACGACAACGACGACAACGACAACGACAGACGACGGACAAATTTTGATCAGAAAAGCTCACTTGAGCCTTCGGCTCAGGTGAGCTAAAAACACACTAAATTTATGAAACGTAAACAATTTACATGTAGATTGAAATTACCAATTATTTTTGAATTTGTTGAGAGTATGCAATCAAATACCTGTTTGTATTCTTATATTTTCTCAACTGATGACAAAACAAGTTGCTAAGACACAAAGAAAACTACGTATGTTTATATTGAAAATATATAATTTTAGTTAGTCATTCCTCCATGATTTTTCCCCTCGCTTATTTCATATGTGTTTTTCTTTTCAATTTCATATTCTGATTATGTATATCAAATACTTGTTCTCTGACCTGAATTTCTATGTTGTAAATATTCTTCATTGTCCCCATATACCTGAAATGGTTTGAGTGAATAAAATGATCTTGAACTTGAACGGGGTCAGGTGCCTTAAACAAAATATCAAATGTATATTTTGATTAAAAATATGTTATTACTTGATTTAATTTCCTATTCAATTGTATACTGTACTTGTTAGGAAAAATTTTGTAACTGTTAATTACCATGAAATACATGTAGGTTCCCCGAGGACAGAACCCTACAGAAAACATAGCTACTACATTATGTACATGTATATGCCCCAAATAAAAAAAAAAACATCTGATGACCTTTTATTTTTTTTTTACTTTCTATGGAATTCTTGGTAGTTGATAATGTAGGTTGTCCCCCCTCCCCCACACTGAAATTGCTTCCTGTGGGCCTGTTTTTTTTGTTTATTCAATCTAAGTTGTTGTTTCTTTCTTACATTCAAATATCTTAAAAATAAGTTTTCCCTCTTTCATAGTGCAATAATGCTCCACAACAACTCCCTAGGTGAAGAAAAAATGATCATACATGACTTTCTTCTTTCCATATTGACATACCTGTCACTTTTTACCCAATAATACAAAAGAGTTCAAAGGGAGATAACAATTTAACTCCAGCAAATTGGTAATAAGGGGCTTAAATAAGCAAAAGAAAGTAAAATGAAGTATCCAAATCAGTTATTCCTCTTCTAAAAAATATATTAGATTAGGAATCTTCTCTTTTTCATTTAAATATCATAGAAATAATCCAAAAATATGGTAAAAGACTGTTATTTAAAATATGTGAAATTGTAGCAAAATATGGTATTTCAAAGTTAATTTACAACATGTAGATATTATTTCCCAAGCTCAATATTTTAATACAGAGTAGAGGTTATATCATGTTTAAAGTAACAATTAATTTAATTTAATTTCAACCTTGGTCTTGAGAGAAACGAGCATCTAAAAATCGCTAAAAAATCATACTCATTTATTTAAAATCTATGAATAGATAGGTAAAAAATAAAATATTCATTTGAATTAAGTTTTTCCTCATTAATTGTGTTAATTAGACCATGGCTATGAAAATAAAACAAAATTTGAAAATAAACTGATGACAAAAGGTAACTTTTTGACTTGATCAATTTGTATACATTTTCCATTAAATTTTGTGTGATTTTCGACAAATATGCAAATGAGCTGTTACTAAAAATAGATGCAGGGTTCGACATTTTTTTGTGGATATTCTGACTTCTACCTTTATGTAGAAAATTTTAAGCCACTTAAAATTCCCAAGTTGCAACCTTCCATTTGGACGATTTTTTTTAATTTTGCATGGTTTTCTCGCGGACTGGCTCTTAAGAATACCAATAATATCATTGCATGTTTGTTCAAATCATACCCCGGATCAGTTCCCTCACTGCTCAGTGGCCCTGAGTGCCGAATACAGGATAGAATTTGCAGCTCTTCACCAGGAAGTGGTGGCTTCTCCATATGAGTGAAAATTTCTCGAAAGGGACGTTTAACAACATTCAAACAAACAACGTACAATCACATCTTATATTTTAACTTTTCAATACTTAAAAAAAAAATCTGCATTTTCTAATTAAGCCAGAGTGCCCAGATGAGCAAGGTGACCCATTGCCATTTTGTTTTAACGAGAAACTTTGATTATTTTCAGCTTTTTTGTTGTTGTTGTTTTCTGGACACTGATAGATTTCATAAATGTTTAAAAAAATCTTAGTGCAAATAAGAATATCTATTTTCTTGTCAGTTTATATTAACTAATATGTTCATGATGAAAAAAAAAAAAAGAAAAATGCATTTATATAATGGATTGTGTTAAATGATGTGGAATAAATACCATAAATACTAAATACAACAACGTTATAGAAGAAAAATTAATTTTCATTAACTTAAAAGAAAATAAATTGACACAAGCACAAAAAATCGTTTTAGAAATATTTCTAAAAATAGCATAATGCTTGGAGGGGCACCGGACATTATGGTAGAAAAAAGTCTATGTAATGCAAGCTGTCAGAAAATAAAGGATGTGTAGTTCAGAAACATTTAGTTTGAAATTTATTTCCAGGAAAAAATACAACGATAAAAGGTTAGTAAATATTTTATTTTTCTTTTTCTCCTAGTCTTTGGTGATTGTAAAGTTGGTTTCTTTGGAAGAGACTGCATTTTTCCCTGTCCCTATCCAACATTCGGGAAAAAGTGCATGGATCTTTGTGACTGTGAAAAAAATACATGCCATTATGTTTTGGGATGCTTATATCAAGGTAATAGGTAAAATATAATTACACACAATTTACGTGTTAAAATTATTAGGAACTGGATTTCTGAATGTCGTATGTGCAAAATTGTTTTAGTAACCATGGCTTTTTTTTACATATATTATGTCTCTAACCTGTCAAAAAGTAATGAATGTTTCCTCTCTTTTTCAGGATTCAATAACTCGATTACTTTAGACAGAACAAACAATTCTTTTCCATTTGGTACTAACCAGTCTGAAATTAATAGCCCCGGACTAGTCGCAGCAGTTATTTGTCTGAGTATTGGAATGTTTTTAATATTTTTAATAGCGGTAACATATTTTGGACGAAAATTGTCAAATCGTACGAAGAAAAGAAGTCCAGTACCCATAGTCCAATATCATCAAAATAGAGAGAATGAACTAAGACTGAATAACTCGACATCTTTGCAGCCAAGTAGAGAAAACGAATATGCTGTAATAAACGATACAAAAAACAAGGGTTGCCAGTACATGTTTATAATAGAGAAAGACAACATCGATCCATATATTCGACCAGATCCACGACAAAGAAGATCAGAAGAGCGTTTAGAATCTAGAAACAGTTATGTGTCATTAATATGTGATGAACCCAAGTTTGAGTGAAAGTTTCTGATTCAGGAAATGCATGCACATAGGAACATTATTATAAATATTTTGTGCGGTATATTGTTTTGGTAACATTTATGAAAAATATCTGCTTCCTTTTCATTATACATCGTCGAAATTCAGTCTAATAGGATGTGTCAATTTCACTGCGACAAAAAGAATTGACGATCAATTTTCATGAAAAATGTTCTATTCCAATGATGAATAGGCGATTTGTTTTTTGTTTTCTTTTGTAAAATGAACTATAAATTTCTAGAAAATAAAGTGAATCTTTCTATATAAATTAGCATATATAGAGAGTAAATTTAAACAAAACTGTGGGGGTGGGTATATTACATGTATTCCCCTCAAAGCATGAATTAAATATATACATTTTGTGTTTCTATGGGTGATCAGGCTTAACGAAAGAATAAAGAATTTTCATCAACGTGTAGAACGAGGACCAAACTAGTTGCTAATGATTAATTTTAAGATATTCTTCAACACATTGGATCGATTTGGATCAATTTTAAATAAACTCAACCAAACAACATTTGATCAAATAGAGTATACCGTACTTTTGAACAAGATAATTCATCGGAAAACACAATCACATTTATTTCCACAAAAATGTCGAGAACCGACTATATTAAATACTGTACACTAGATCTAATGTGTTATTTCTATCAAGTCATGATCATATAAAAACAAAATCAAGAATGATAAGCAGAAGGTTTTTTTTTCTTCCTTTTTTAAAGTTGACAAGTTTATGCCTTCATTTTGCAGTTCGACAAAGGCATGCATTTTTTTTCTAAATGTTATTTGACATTTTTACACCAGTCTTTATTTTTAATATAAATAAAATCATAGTGAAAAGAACCGTATCATATGACCTTTACCTACGATAAAAGCATGATATCTTTTAAAACGATAATTACGTTCATTTACATATATTTACATTTCCAATTGTTTTCCCTATGATAGACACTACAAAATAAATCTTGTTTTTTCTCCGTGGTTCCTGTGGCATGTAAATTTTTCTACTGAAATACTACTGAAAGGTCAAATGTCAACCTGCATGTATACGTATGGTACATGACTGGCGTATAAATACACTGAAGAAAAAATATATGTTTTGTTTAATTGTTTACTTCGTATTTATATATGAAACATATTTTTACAAACAAAATGAATAATGAATTATCTCCTGATCAAAAGCAAGTCACCAAATCCACTTCCATCGAGGACTCGCGAGACCGAGAACTCTACTTCCGTAAACATGGTAAACAGCCCATCTGAACCACGTGGAAAAATCGGCATCGCCACATATATCAATCTGCACTTCATCATCTGATACAGACATCGTCCCTAAGTCATTACCATCCGACTTATTAAGCAACTCAATTTCCTCTCTTATTTTAACATCCACTCAAATCTGATTCCTGACCATGCTGACCAAATCCCGTGTCATCAACTGTAACATTGCATTCAATATGGCGGCGGCGAAGTGTCCTAGGGTTCCGACAACCTAAATCTAGGTCACATAATTATATAACTAAAGTTAACAAGATTGCTTAGATCATAATTTATTTTATTCTATAAATGTTGATATTTGGCTACAGTAACTAAATAATCATTAAATTTGGTTCGTGTTTTATGGAACTATATTTTTATTGTAAAATTTGACGTCATTGGGCGGGGCAATAGAAAAAAAAACATGAAATGCCTCGTGCATTTCAAATCTACTAAATTAGACCATATTCCGATTTATTTTAAGATTGTTATTTCAAGTAAAAATGGAAATATAAGGAATCACTGTCTAGAAGGGTATGTCAGGGACATCAACAATAGTGATTCCTTAAATCAATGCGAGGAATTATTCTTAAATTTTAAAATATTTTAACAATTTTTTTCTTTGTGATATTACAGACAACGGGGTGCAACACAGAGGAACATATTCTGGACAATCGTCATACTACTTTTACTACTTTTAACATACACTTTAACTTTTCTATCGTCAACTTCCCTTACTTAAGCAGCAATATACCTTCATCACCTGCATACATGTAGTATATATATATCTCAGTTGATTCGATACGCAAGAGCATGCTCTACGTATAAACAATTTCTAAAACGAGGTAAATTATTGACAAGCAAGTTGATGAAACAAGAATATCAGCAGTCTCATTTAAAGTCAACATTTCGTAAGTTCTATGGTCGATACAATGACCTTGTCAGCAAACACAATTTATCATTGAGTCAAATGCTGACTGACGTTTTTCAAACCAATTGTTAGTCCATTATTTATACACTGAATTGACGACGGATTTTTCCGTTATTTCCTGATCATGACAAGGAGCACACGGCAGGTGTGACCGTCGGCAGGGGATGCTCACTCCTCCATGGCACCTGATCCCACCTCTGATGTTTCGGGGGTTCGAGTTTGCTCTGCTCTTATTTTGTATTTTTTATGGACTTTGAGATTGAATACTGTTCGTTATCTCCATATCCTTCATACATCAATATTTAGATTTTTTAACACTTACCTTTAATTTTAAAATTCAAAGGAAGAAGATCGCTCTCAGACTAAGGAAATTATTATGATCAAATCTATTTTTGAAAAAGACTTATTTAATTATTTCTTACATTAAATATTTTTTTAAAAATCAGTATATTTAATTATTTCGTTAAGGTTTTTAAATCGTTTAAAAATTTTTAAGAAAAATGAAAAAGTACAGTAATATGTCATATTTTGTAAAGAATATATTTGATTTGTGCTTGATTTTCTTTGTTCCTGGCCAGTCGCACCTTTAAATTGTGTAATTTTATTGTCTAAAAATGATGACGAGCTATATTCTGAAAATTTATCGGTAATTTTTATTAGCAAAGAAAAATAATAGTTTTGGCCTGATCAAAGTTTTATTTTGTCCCTTGCGCCACTCCTGCTCCTGATAGCAAATAAATCGGACGCAACTTTAATTGCTCTTCTTCTTTTTTAGGCAATGTCCAGGTTTCTTTGCTTACATTTTTACTTTAAGTGATTTTTATTTCAATATTGTCTTAGATAATAACTCATTAAAATGGAATGAAAATAATTAACTTTTTAAAAATAGTTAGGCATTTAAATTAGAAACTTCTAAGATTGACAATTCACATTAAATAAAGAATATATTTTTTTATCTATTTCATTTCAAACAAAAATGTTTAATTCTTTGTTGAATTGAAGATATTTTGTTAATAAAGTCAAAAGGATCGGACACAAGTTCAGTAACTTAGATAGTCCTCTCTTAATACATGTAGAACATTTTGTAAAATTGCCAAAAAAAAAAAAAAAAAAAAACATGCTGTATACAATTCTTTGTTGTGTTGAATTTTTACCACTCCCCCGAAAAATCCCGGATCGGTGCATGGTTCCCGTTACCACTCCCCCGAAAAATCCCGTTTTAAACAGTAATATCAATATTAATGTACATATATATCAAGAAGGTATATAATGGTATTTAATTTTCTACATCTGAATGCCATTGTGTTTTTAAATCCATTTGACCAAACTGACCCGTCGTAAACGAGATTAATTTTATAAACGAAAACGAAAGTTGATGTATTTTCCGATTCATTATTTCATTCATTCATCATCAGATCAAAGGTAGGTTTAAACTTTAAGCTTAAAAAGACAGTATGTATGATATAATTACACATATATATTGCAGACTTTTCATTAACTGTAAAACAGAACAAATTTTATGCATTGTTCATGTATATTGTCTATTTTTAACGAAGTTCATTTTTCACATAGTTTCGTATGCATATGCATGTATCTATGCTGTAGTGTTCATGTTATGTTTATTCATATAGGAAAGGTATGAATGCAGATCTATGGAATTTTCATGACATTAAATCATTTAAATGTTTTAAAAAGAATAACTGGGTGAAGAACAATAACTCTTACTTCCAGCAATAACAATTATTTCGGTTTAAATTCCACTAAAAATAATAAAAAAAAAATAATTTTAAAAAATAATCACGCCATCTGAATCAACTGAAACAAGGCACTTACAACTGGAACAATTCTGATTTTCTGATTTTTAGTAATGTGTGCAGTGTGGCAAGTCTTCGGTGGGTTTTTTTTTTTATTACGGAAGCGCACTTGTGCCACTTTGACACTTTAAATTTCTTTATTTTCCACACTTTAATCTACATGTTTTACCAATATTCTGATCGGTAAACATTATCAATCGATGGGGCAACTTTCACAGGTACAATGTAGTACTGGGATTCTGTTTAAAATTCATTTCGTTTACAACAACCATTTAAAGTCAATAAATGTAAAGATATTCTTAATAAAATAAAGGTATTATTTTTAATGTTTTTAAGAGATCAAGAGTGCTGTAAGTGAGAAAGAAGAAATATGATTATTTTGTTTAGTCTGTACGGTGAGAGTAATGCCATGTTGTAAATTTTGAATTTACCGAGTGGGAGTAAATATAAAATTTAGAACATGACAACTACATATATTGGCCAATGGGTGAAAGTAGATTTACTTTGAGTTGTTACTGAGTACTAGTCTAATCATTTTCTTGTTCCCTAAGCCTATCTCTCTTATTTTTTTTTTTAAACTTTTTTTAACAACACAGCAAAATCTTATTTTTTTTTTTACTTATATACAAGGCGTTATCAAAAAATTTGTGGACTGAGGCGATGAATTTATTCTTATGTAGTTTGTGCTTTGATAATGTACAAGGAACATAGATCGTCAAAAAATAAAGCAATGAGGGAAATTTTACCTTGATATATTCATTATTTGCTTAATCATTATTGACAGAATAAAAATGACATAATATGATAGCCCCGCCGTTTAATTTCATGACGTCCAACTGCGTCATTGTTTTTCAATTTCCTCTTCTTCAACCTTATACACTTATCTTGATGAGATTCCCTGGAGCTGAGTAAAGACTTAGAACCGTCTTGTTTATATGACTTTACAATGCCATGAATAATTGCTTTCAATGCGTACAATATTGCAAATGAATTTATACACTGAGATAGATTCTCACATGATTAAGTCAGCATATTTTTTTTTTTGAAATTCAATAACCACACTTAATCAACGTCATTTTTGGCGTAATTGACTTTTCATACCTTAACTATAAATCCACTTAAACTGCGCATGCTTTTTCTCTCTGAATCTATTTTGGCATTGAAAACTGGTACACTCGATGCATTATTTGTATTTCTCCATAGTCAGTTTAATCATTTCTTAGGTTAATATCATTTTTTTCAGGGGCAAAACTTTAAAGAATGTTGGGTGAAGAAAC